CCCTGTAACTCGGAAACGTAAAATCTAAAATTTATAAAAATCGAAAGGGAGCTCATGTCAATAGATATAAACAATTCACCACAATTTCTTGCAAGTTGGTGAAAGCATTCTTGACTTATTGTCCGAAAACTGGAAAATCCCCCTTTTTTTAATGAACAAAACCCCATAACTCGGAAACGTAAAATCTAAATTTTATAAAAAATGAAAGGGAGCTCACGTCAATAGATATAAACAAATCACCAAAGTTTTATGCAAATTGGTAAAAGCATTTTTGAGTTAATGTCCGACATGTTGACGACGGACTGACAGACGGACAACGGTATACCATAATACGTCCCGTAAACGGGCGTATAAAAACTTAACAGAGCAATGAACTGTGAAAATGAGGTCAAGGTCAAATAAAACCTGCGCGACTGACATAAAGATCATAAAATATTTCCATACACCAAATATAGTTGACCTATTGCATATAGTATTAGAAAAAAAGACCAAAACTCAAAATCTTAACTTTGACCACTGAACCATGAAAATGAGGTCACGGTCAAATAACACCTGCCAGCTAGACATGTACATCTTACAATCATTCCATACACCAAATATAGTAGACCTATTGCATACAGTATAAGAAAAACAGACCAAAACACAAAAACTTAACTATAACTACTGAACCATGAAAATGAGGTCAAGGTCAGATGACACCTGCCAGTTGGACATGTACAGTTTACAGTCCTTCCATACACCGAATATACTTGACCTATTACTTATAGTATCTGAGATATGGACTTGACCACCAAAACTTAACCTTGTTCACTGATCCATGAAATGAGGTCGAGGTCAAGTGAAAACTGTCTGACGGGCATGAGGACCTTGCAAGGTCGCACATACCAAACATAGTTATCCTACTACTTATAATAAGAGAGAATTTAACATTACAAAAAATGTTAACTTTTTTTTGAAGTAGTCACTGAACTATGAAAATGAGGTCAAGGACATTGGACATGTGGCTGACGGAAACTTCGTAACATGAGGCATCCATATACAAAGTATGAAGCATCCAGGTCTTCCACCTTCTAAAATATAAAGCTTTTAAGAAGTAAGCTAACGCCGTCGCCGCCACATCACTATCCCTATGTCGAGCTTTCTGCGACAAAAGTCGCAGGCTCGACAAAAACTGGAAAATCCCAATAAAACACCATAACTCAGAAATGTAAAATCTAAAATTTATAAAATTCTAAAGGGAGCTTACGGATTGATAATTTAGTCTTACAATGTAGATGCAAGATTTTTATATCAGTTGTTAGTGGCTTTGAACTAGCTGTCAGTAACTGCAAGTACTCTCAGATCTGTACTTTCTGTCTTTTTCTTGTTTGGATGTACAACTACCCGACCACATCCACTTGTATTTGTATTTATCCATCTGATGAGTTAAGCCTCTTTCAAGTGATTTTTATAGTTCGTTCTTATATTGTACTGTTACACCACTGTCCCAGGTTAGGGGGAAGGTTGGGATCCCGCTAACATGTTTAACCCCGACACATTCTGTATGTACATGTATGTGCCTGTCCCAAGTCAGGAGCCTGTAATTCAGTGGTTGTCGTTTGTTTATGTGTTGCATATTTGTTATATTCGTTCATTTTTTGTACATAAATTAGGCCGTTAGTTTTCTTGTTTGAATTGTTTTACATTGTCATTTCGGGCCTTTTATAGCTGACTATGCGGTATGGGCTTTGCTCATTGTTGAAGGCCATACTGTGACCTATAGCTGTTAATTTCTGTGTCATTTGGTCTCTTGTGAGAGTTATCTCATTGGCAATCATACCACATCTTCTTTTTTATATTTACATCAACAGATACATGTATAAACAATTCACCAAAGTCAAGGTGAGACAACAAAACTTAGTGGTAAGATCTCTGAAATTTTTTACACGGTACAAGTTTTTCTCATTGTTGGAGATTGTACGGTGACAGTAACACCTGTAACTGCTTAAACCCATTTCTTATGCACTTTAGTTCGATAAACTCACTGAATATCATACCACATCTCCTTATTTTTATATGCATTACAATTTACATGTGCATGTAATTATAAATATATATATATCAGAACAAAATTCATTGCGTCACTTTTATTTCTGCATCCTTTGGCACAATACAAGTTTTAAAATTACACAACATAAAACAACTAAATGTTATTTCAGATGAAAGTTTTGTTTCAGTTCCATTCATAGGATTTGTTAGAATTTTGTATGTTTTGCCAAGTCCAATAATTCGCTCTATGTGCACATGTTAATTGGAGACTTTTCTATCCCGTATAAGAGTTTTGGAACTAATTCTGTTTCTTTTTTTGAAAAAAGTTAGCAAACAAATCTTGCACATTTAAACCTTTGTCTGCCATCACACTGTCACCTGGATCACATAACTGAACTACATTTTGTATTCTACATCTTTCAACTATTTCATAGTCACTGGCAGAGCCAACATATGCAGTAGAGACATAGTTGACTAAACCACCAGGCGTCGAACATACAAGTATTTTCAGTGTTTCTGTTTTTATATGATGAAAAGGTTGCCTGAGCTATAGGAGCTTTAGTTTTATCACAGGATATTCTGTGCTGTCAATAATAATCCAAGTCGTTGGAAACTTTAATTTGAAGTTGGATGGCGAAAAATGCCTGACTAAACCACTAGATGGCCAAGTGTTAGCCTCACACCACTGTTTAGGCATAAAAACAATCCATGTATATACACAATATTCTTAACACTAGATTCAATCTAGAATCTAGAAAGTTCGAAGTTGGTTGTATAATGCCTCAATTTCATCAAAGTCATAAAAAAACTGATTTTCAACTGACACCCTATCAATTTGAAAATATATGTATCTCAAACAATGTGCTGTTGGACCAAGTGTGGTCAAAACAAATAAAAATTTAGTATACAACTCTAAACTGGTATAAAAATGCATGGCTGTGTCACGTGTCTTCATTTCAAAATTCTCTGCTGAAAACATAGACATTGATGGTGTTTGCGTAATTCCATCTTTGAAGCTCAACATTAGCTCAGCAGTTGGTGGTGGACAGTCATAAATCCTTTCTGCAGTATGAATGACTTCTTCAGGAAAACCAACTTTACAATCAAAACTTTCCTCTAGATTTCTACTACAATATTCATCAAGTTTAGTTCTTTTGTTTTCACAGGAAACTGCCCTGATTTTTCTTTTTGCTGACGATTCAGTCTCTTGCTTGGTCTAGGAAAATAGGCTGGGAATGGCAGTAGACTTAGGTCTCTGTATGGTGGGTTTGCGCCCTGAAAAAGGTTATAAAACATTATTTTTTTGATAATTAAATGAACTTCCATTAGCAATGTATACTTTGTATTACCTGGCGAAATATTAACTAGATTTATTCATTTCAATCTGGATAAAACTATGTTTGCCTGATTCAATGTATGTTATGTAAATCCAAAGGACAAACAATGAGAGACTTATGCAACAAACGTACATTGTTTGTACCTAAATAACTATAATATTGATGAGAGCATGTCATTGTTTTGTTCCTGTTAACATTGTCATTGATATTTTTCAAGAAAGTCTATGAGGCATAGCTTATGCATTCCTGTCATTACTACATTAGCATAATTAGTGCTAAAATAATTCTCAGTATGATATACCTCTTGTAAGAAATCATTATAACTGTAGCAATCACCAAAAAATCTCAAACAGATCACATAAAATCGTAATCCAAAAAATTATGACGTCTTGAATTAACCAACCCCTTTTATTCTAAAACGATAATTGCGGTTGTAAACAGGCTTTGGTTTATTCGCATGGCGATTACATATATAACTATATATTTCAAAAAGAAAATAGAGTTTTACCATGAATAGATTCCTGCACGTAGTCTTTTTCAGTAAAATGTGCCTTGCAAACAACAGCTGATTGAGATGGACTCCACGATGAAATCGTGTTCTCGTGCAATCTGCGTTTGGGCCATGGCGTTGATCCAACTTTTCCTTCTTTTTAAGTCATTTGGAAATGCATGTCCTTCTCTTAAATGACATCCAGGTACACAACAACAAGTACTTGGCATCGTTAATTTAAAATGTAACTGAAATAGTTGCACAGTGCAGAAACCGGAAGTTGAGGAACAGGATCGGCTACCACGGCACCACCTATTCAAGAACGATAATTTGCTACTTTATATAACTGCGAAATAACAATAACGTTAGACGGGTTCGTGTGCATAAACAGAAATGCGCTTTAAATTGTATAATATAATTAATGTTCAGTCGACTCTTAATTATTATATCAACGACTGAAATGATTTATAAACATCTAGATTGCAGATAACACTCGAAATTAACCCGAGCTCTTTCCACACGGAATTCAAATAATTCTAGTTTGTCAATCGGTTGACTGCTTATAATGCAAAATACAAATATATCAAAAGTTTTTAAAAATAACAAAACACAATGATCGTTTCTCTATTTCCCAATGTAAATGAAATGAAACAAAAAACATTTTATATCACAATAAGAAGAGGAGAGAATTCAACATTTCCGGATCTACTTGGAGCCTAATGACCCCCCACGTAGATAAGTTGGATATCGCGGAAGGAAGGATTAACCCGGCAACTAGAAAGGCATTAAAGCACTGCCTTTAAAAATGGTAAATATTATATGAAGATGGCTAAAGATTATTTAACAATGGCATGTATCATTTGATAAATTTATGGTAGAAGACAATTTATTGATGGCAGTATGTATGTATGATAGGGTTGATACCTCCGTTATTCCGAGCTCCCCACGAAAGCTGCGAGGGTACAGTGGTATCCATGAACACTCCCTAACAGGAATAATGCAGTGCGCATTCATAAAACAGGTCATGGAGATTCCTGGTATTTAAATAATTATTTGCACGAACTTCGTCCTCTTTCACAGGTAACTTCTGCCTCATATTATTGATAAACAAATAAAAAATAGTGAACACGTTGAACGAAAATTACCTTTTACCATGTTTACCGAAAATTTTCCTTACAAGTTACAGATGACATGATATATAACTAATTTATCTGTCAGTGTCAGCTCTGACACCATATTTTTTTTGGTCATCAGTATTTTTATGGGAATGCAAGAATTTTTTTCTTCTTTTCAGATGCAATTACTTTTCTTAATGCATCTTATTTAATTTTTTGCTTACTTCGTTTTATAAGTCATGGCTTCTGTTTACATTTTCCCGGAAATGAAAATAAATACAACAAGGTGGATAATATGCCTGATACTTAAATTTTAATTAACATTATAAAAAACGCTTTAAAGATAAAAAGAGAAATTTCTTCGAAGATATCTAGATTTTACCTCTAATCTACTGGTACAATCAGGAGATTTTTTATATTACGTCAAGTGATTTTTATTCATTACTTCTTGGTGGAAACAGCGTAGAACGTAACATAACATTATTTTAAAAGAAATAATGTCATTGAATACAGCACATGCCCATGGAGGCGTTTTGATATATGCTGGCGAACGGTAAATTGACTAATCGTTAATAAAAATGGAAGATCAATCATAAAAAATCCAGATTTTTTTAAAAACCAACAGCCCAAAGTCGGCAAAATTATCAATAATCATACGTCAAAGACATTCTACATCATGACAGACACAAATATACACATATGTTTATATGTCTCTCATCATGATCAGAAAGAAAAACGGCAAATTACAAAAACAGACCACTAAACATTGCATTGATTGAGTAACACAAACCCTAACCAAAATTTTTTGACGTCTTGGACATTCATATATACTATAGGGACTTGTCTACCAGAACTGTTATTGTCTTTATATCTATACTACTAAAATAACGAGGTCCAATTTGTTAGTCGGCATGACGTAAAAAAGACTTATCAAAGAATTCAACTTGATATACAATGGCTTTGTATTAGTTGTTTGAAGAGGTCAAACACGGCAGGTGTCAGGTAGATTAATTAACCTGTCATGTCGGACACTCTGTAGACCACCACACATCGGCCATGTCTCTCAGTATGTCCTTACAAGTACTGTATAACTAATATAGGACAATGGTGTTGATTAAAAATTACACCATTCCAGGCCTTTTTGTTTTCCACATGATTAATATTACATGTAACAATAATTGGTTCCAGGTCGAATCAGATACTGATACCATAAGTACAAGTCATATGTAGTTTCTGATTGTATAGTACATGTAAGAAAACCAGGACTGATTCAAAAAGAAATATTTTGAAAGCAGAGAAAGCACCCTATAATCAGCATGTCAGACTTTATCAGATGACAATAAGAATACTAAAAATCCAGGCTACAAATATGGCGTAGGTACTTTAACTCAGTCACGGACACGAAATGTTGCGGGTGTGTTCTAGTATTTAGAAAAAAAATACAAGACCTCTACTCATAAATGATATACTTGAGAGAAAAAAATTTGAACCCCTATACTCTCCAGTCAGATATGTAGCCCCATTATCATATATTTGCATTTCTGAAAAAAATATATACCCCCTACTACATGTACAAATGTGTACAAGGACGTACATTACATGTATAAGGGTAGTTATGATATTGTAAACAATGAGTACCAATCAACCTTTTCTGTGATGTGCATTCTCTGCTCTATTTTAATTTTTGTTAATTAGAAGGCAAATAGTTAAAGTGATTCAAATCTTCAATGTCCAAAAAGGAAAACAATTATAAAATTTGTAATATCCTTTCAAATATATCTTATAGGTTTGTTAAAAAGCGTACAATTTTCAATTATAGTGAGGGTGGACAGGGGTAAGGGAACATGGAATTGAGGAGGCCGGAAGCAGAAGTCAGGGGAAGGATGCAGGAGTCAGGGGTGGGAACTGGGGGAAGAGGGGAGTAAAACAGGGATATTCTAGTTATTTTTTTTTTTTTACCTATTTTCGTCTCGGAGTAACATGAGTAAGGGGAAGGAAAGGAGTAGGAGAGAGGGAATAGGGAGTAAGGTGGAGGGAAGTGGGAGTTGTGGGGGTCCTTGATGTATAAGCCTGTTATTGTCTATTCATGCAATTCTATTCAACACTGTCACAAAGACAGGAAACTGATAATATATTATTGGATAATTGGAATTGGGATTGGGGCTTTTTAAACTTGTTTGAAGTGTTCATCTATGAACAGTTTGTGGACAACCCGCCAAATGGGGAACTATTCCCTGAATGAGTAACAATCCCTCAATTGAGTAATCATTTGATAGCGCTAAAAATAATTATTGTTTACATTGCAGGATTTTACTATATTGTGATGGAGTAGAGATGGGATTTGATGGCGTCAATCTGCCACATTTTAAAGGCAACAAAAAAGGAACACTTTATTTAACTACTCATAGAGTAAGTAACATTTGAAATAAGACTGAAGAGTCAGTTTAAAGTGTTTATTACTCCTAAAAAAAGGTATTGGTACTGTAAATTCAGAAATTATTGCGTGCATTTATTATTGCGATTTTTGAAGAATGGACAAGAATACGAAATTGATTATTGCGATTTTAGGAATATCAAAATGCAGATGTATGATTAAGATATCAAAATGCGAGTTCTTATTATTGCATTATTCGCATTAATAAAAACCTGGCATTAATTTCTGAATTTACAGTATTTATTATTTGTATATGTACTTACATTTTTTTAAGCATTTTTTGTTAGCCAAGTTAGATGGTAATTGTCACGACAATAAGATATTAAAAGTTTGACTCAGATATTGCATCGAATTAAATTCATAAGAACTTCATTTTTTTTTTACTGTTCAGCAATTGAAATAAGCACTATTATTATAACCATTGTTTGATCTCCAATTATTCTACTTCTAAAAAAATAGCATTTATGGTAAGGGATTTATCACTGGAATTGATAGACTCTCGATAGTAATCCTTGTGCATGTCCATGTTTCTCTTCTGGACTTGAACTCCACATTGAATTAACTGATAACAATAAGGTTTTATAGTCAGGCTATCTGGACCATGTTAAGTATTTCTTGTTTTCTGGTTTGGTGTTGGTGATTTGTGTGGTCTGTTCACTTTGTTATACTCTCTAATACTTTTGGTAATTCCTGTTATCCTTTTAGAGTATTATTACATCAGTAAATTACTTTTCAAACAATCAAATCCTGATTTAGGCCATTTAAAAATGTTTATAGCTTAAGTTTTAGGTTTGTTTTTTACGATTTTAGGTGATATTTAACAACAATAGTTCATCAGACATGTTGAAATCCTTCAGTATACCATTTATGTGTATGAGGGAGGTGGAGTTAGAACAACCTATATTTGGGGCCAATTATATAAAAGGCAAAGTAAATGCAGAGCAGGGAGGTAGGTATCAAAATAATGTACAGTTTCAAAGGTTAAATGGTTATTCAAATGATTCATTTATGTATTGGAAGTATGAAAATAAGGAATTGTAAGGTAACCTTTTCTTATTAAACTTACAAAAAAAACTAAGTTAAAGTTTCACAGAGATTCTTTTAAGATATTGTTTTGATCCCAGAAGCATTCATTTCTGGTAAGAGACTTCCAAAATGTGATAATGATATGTCACAAAATTAATTTAGACTTTTTTACTTTTATAAACCATAAATCAAAGTGAATGTAACCATGCTTGCTTGAAATAAAAAAAAAAAAACCAATTCAACATTTTTTAAATACTTTATTTTCTATAGGTAATTGGGAAGGTCAAGCAAAGATCAAGTTATGGTTCAACCATGGAGGTGCAATTGAATTTGGACAAGCTATGTTGAAAGCTGGACAATTAGGTAAGATAGTGATCAATGTGATTCAAAGGGAGATAAATATTATTGTGCTTTAAATTTGAGACAACCTGTATAGGTTACAAGAGCGCAATTATTTGTTTACTTTTTACCGGCAAGTTTTTTACCCCAAGATGGTACTCAGAATAGAATCCTGTATGGCTTCTGATTGGATTATACAGGATTGGAATCACTTTTAATCGAAAGCTTATCCAATTAGGTTTAAAAATTCCAGAAAATCAAATTCACATTTTACAAAGTATAGAAAATATCTTCCATTTCTGCAAGTCAGGGCCATTAAAAATATGCCTTTTTCATTAAGCGAAAAAAATAGACGATTTTTTTCAACTGCATTTTGAGTCAATTTTTGCCGCATGACCATATATATTTTTTTGGTTGTTATGCAACACTGGCATTTCTAGTAACAGGAACTGCTACTTGTTTTTATCTAGTTTGTGTAGTCTTCGAGAAATAAAATACGGAACACCACTGGTATCCTATGGAAAATGCATTACGAATAATTGCGCTCTTGTAACCTATAGAGTACAAGCTGTGTGAAGGGTAGGGCAGTTCTGTTTGTCAAAGGGAGATAAATATTATTGTGCTTAAGAGTTGAGACAACCTGTATAGAGTACAAGCTGTGTGAAGGGTAGGGCAGTTCTGTTTGTCAAAGGGAGATAAATATTATTGTGCTTAAGAGTTGAGACAACCTGTATAGAGTACAAGCTGTGTGAAGGGTAGGGTAGTTCTGTTTGTCAAAGGGAGATTAATATTATTGTGCTTAAGAGTTGAGACAACCTGTATATAGTACAAGTTGTGTGAAGTCTTCAAGGCTAGGGCAGTTCTGTTTGTCAAAGGGAGATAAAAATTATTGTGCTTAAGAGTTGAGACAACCTGTATGAGTACAAGCTGTGTGAAGGCTATAATGCCTAACAAGATTTTGTGAGGTAGATGAAATTGACCTTAAAACGTCGTATTGAATTTTGATGTCCAAAAAAAGGCAGATCGGACATATTTTGACTTTATTTACTGACTACTTTTGTTTGGGATTAACTGAATTTTTTTTTTTTTGTTAAGATAAACAATAATTTTACCTGGGGTAGCCGTGCGTAAAATGTATTTCGGCATTTCTTATCGAAAAATGACTTGTGTTATGGAATAAAGCATCTGATTTGTAAACTTTCTCTTTTTACTCTGGAATAGGCTATTAAAAAATAATTTATCTACTCTATATATGGAAAATTTTGTGAAAATATAAGAAGTGGCAATTCTTACCTTTCATACCTTTAGTTTCATTGATAAAAAAATAATATGGACTTGTCCAGTGTTCAGTTTGTAGATCATTTAAGTTACTGTACACATTCATGCATGTTCTGATTTAATCAATACACGTGTATGAAAAAAATGAACAGTTTGAAGGTAAACTATTAATAACTTAATCCAATCAAATTGCGTAAGATTCAATAACAATGACCGGTCCACATTATAATAAGTAATAGGGGTAAACTTGGTAGGGAGAAAATGACAGATATTTTAAGTTCAATTTTTTTAATAACGAATACAAATTTGTCAACCAAAAGTTTTGCTATAATTTCAAAAACATGTCGGTCTGTATTGGTATAGTTTTCGGAACTTTCATTTGCGTATTTAAGGCAATAGAAACATTGGGCTTCAAAAGTCTACATACTTATTGACTTTTTACAGAAAATACGCCCTTTTAATACATTTAATGTTTCACAAATAATACATGGATACAAAATAAAATCATTTCTTAAAACACTGCAAAAAAATAATTCTGATTGGTATAGTGGTATTGTCATATTAAAAGTGCATTGAAATAAAAAAAAAACGTATAGCAAACATCAAATTCCCTCACAAAAAGTTATCATGCACTATAGGGCAGTTCTGTTTGTCAAAGGGAGATAAATATTATTGTGCATAAGAGTTGAGACAACCTGTATCTAGTACAAGCTGTGTGAAGGCTAGGGCAGTTCTGTTTGTCAAAGGGAGATAAATGGGTATAATGCTGCTGAGCTAGGACAAACTGTGTGGAGGCTGGGGCCAATAGTCCTAGGTGAAGGACAGGTCAGTTCTCAATCTGTACGTCAAAGGGAGATAAATGTGTATTGTGGTGTTATGTGATGCTAATAAAAGATTGGAATTTGAAATGAAAAACAAAGAACAGCAAATACATTTTTAAATGCTTCATTAAATAATCCTGAGAAACAACCAAGTTGCTTATATCTACATCATTTGGATTCTGGTGGAAAGTTGTCTCATTGATAATTAAACAACATCTTCTTAATTTATAACTATAAAATTTAACAAAATTATTTTTTTCAGCATCAAGGAATAGAGTACAACAACCTCCACCATATATGCCACCCCAGGGCAATTTTTACCAAGCCCCACCACCATCTTATTCACCCCCACAGACAGGATATTATGATTGGGTGCCCTATCAGACATTCCCATCAGCTCCACCACGTAAGTATATAGATTTCTGACTACTACAGCTGTACTACTTCTTGACCTTCACAGGAAGCAAATTTTTGTTGAATGCTGCACCATCTGTTTTCTTCAGCCTAAAATGAAAAGTATACAATGGTGCGTTACTGTATCCCTGCTTTATGACATATGGTCCATAATTCTTCATAGATCTGATTCTTCGATATGACCAATGGCAACAACAGATGATTTTTGCAGTTCTGTTACTGCAATCATTCATCATATAAATAAAAGTAAATGTTTTGTTAAAGGCAATGAGACAGCAAATTATTTCCTATGATACGAGAAAATTATATGTAAAATATAGCTCTAACTTTGTATGTGAATAATGTGACATGGGATAAATATCAATGAAGCAGCAACTGACATAAAACAACATTTACAGATCGCCCATATAGTCTTCAGTGAGTAGACAAGAGCAAATCCACAGATATGGCAAGCTCTAAACTGTCATGTCCAGATTATTTGTGAAAGAATTCAAAAGAGAACCAAATATGTGAACTTGCAATGTTTCAGTGCACTTTTAAGATCCCTATCTATTAACATGAGGGTTAATTTTAGCAGTATTTCCACCTTGCCATTTTATCAGTATTTCTACCTTGCCATTTTATCTCAATCAGCAGAAGAACAAATGGTGGGTAAAATGTAGGATAAATTTCTTCACCATAGAATATGCTAGCTTGTTTTAGATGAAGTGAAAAGTTGAAAAGACAAGCATCTACAAAATGCTACACGGATAAAACCTTAGATCTTGCAGTACAAACTCAATAAAAAACTGGTTATAAACTCAGGTGTTCTGGAAGTGTTAGCAATTCTTGCTTCACTAGTGACACTGTGGCACCCATGTGTAACTTCATATTAAAATCTGTTACATGTAAGTTCTAGTCAGTGATAAAGCTTCTTGCCATCAATGAATAAAAACAATGTAATATTCACAGTATAATGAACCACAATATTTTAGTATGTGCAGTGCAGTTTACATAGTGTTCAGTGTGAAATTGGAGGTTCTTGCCATTCCAGGGCTGCTGAATTAATCATGTTTTATACCGGTAGTGATTCTTCTGTTTTTTGTGTGATGTTTCTGTACTGTGGTTTCTTATTTTTCTTGTTTCCATGACGTCTGTAGTGCTTCAACTTACAGTATTGCACTCTTGGTGTCTTCTTACATTTTAGTGAAAGAAATAAATATTTGATCTAGTACTGTAAGGGCATATTATGAACCCTTTGAATATGTAGTGTTTGTTCCAGGCAAGGTTTATAACAGAAAACAATAGACAACTTTCGAGTTCGATGCATTTCCGTCAAAAACTCTGGTTTTAGTGAACATCATTCGTGCGTTTAGGGGCATCGTCACTTCCGTTCCAATGTTGAGCAAGTGGTTGGAAAACTATAATGCTATATTGCACGAATTATTCGGCAAATTAAATTCTCATAATAAACAATCAGCACTACTGTCATTAGGGAATTGTGATTAAGTACTTACAAAACAAACATTATTTCTAGTTTATCCTGCACAATGACGATCACTAAGACGCTTGATGAACGTTAACAGTGCAGGGATACAGGCGATCCCCTCCATCTAGTAAATGACGTCATAAATGCACGCATAATTGACGAGTTTTTTCCGGTGAAGGATGAACTCGAAAGTGGTCTATTCCATTTCAATTGTATTAAAAGAATATTCAAGTATGATTATATTTCAGCGGAGTATGTGTATATGACTGAAGCTCCCCCACCATATCCTGGTGTAGACCCAAGTGCACCACCACCACAACCACAGCAAGCCAATGGATATGGTTCAGGTATTTATAATTTACTAAGTCTAATACTGTAGTTCTCATGCTGCTTTGAGTATGGGTAACATTAGCTATGATGATGTTCTTTTATTATAATGGTCAATGTTATAATTGACCTTTGAGTAGTGAACATGATGTTTACACTCTTTATTATTATAACTAGCCTGTCAGCACATAGGTTGTAAGGTCCAACCTTCCTTGTTTGACTCCTATCTTTATTGACTAGGAATGCCAGTATTCCTGCCAAAGATTGGTGGTTATCTTTGGGTCTTTAGCTTCTTCTACCAATAAAAACTGGCTGCCATGATATAGCTAAGCTTGCTTGAAGTAGTGTTCAACACCGACAATCAATCAATCTTATTATTTGGATAAATTTACCAGTATGTAACTTTTTTGGTCAAATTATATTATAGATTATAGGGATACAGAATACCTTTTTAGCTCACTGGGGCCCAAAGGGCCCCATGTGAGCTTATGCCATCACTTGGCGTCCGTCGTCGTCTGTCGTCGTAAACTATTTCAAAAATCTTCTCCTCTAAAACTACTGGGCCAAATACCTTCAAACTTAAATAAATGTTCCTTAGGGTATCTAGTTTATAAATTGTATCCGAAGTTTTGATCCATCGACAAACATGGCCGCCATGGCTAAAAATAGAAGATAGGGGTCAAATGCAGTTTTTGGCTTTGTCTCAAAAACTAAAGCTTTTAGAGCAAATCTGACATGGGGTAAAATTGTTCAATTGGTGAAGATCTATCAGCTCTGAAATTTTCAGACGAATCAAACAACCCATTGTTGGGTTGCTGCCACCGAATTGGTAGTTTTAACAAAATTTTGCATTTTTTTGTTATTATTTTGAATATTATTATAGATATATATAAACTGTAAGCAGCAATAATGTTCAGCAAAGTAAGATCTACAAAAAAGTTAATATGACCATAATTGTCAATTGACCCCTTAAGGATTTATTGCCCTTTAAAGACAATTTTACACAATTTGTTCATCAAGTTTGCTAACATTTAAAAATCTTCTCCTCTGAAACTACTGGGCCAATTACCTTCAAACTTTAACTAAATGTTCCTTAGGGTATTTAGTTTATAAATAGTTTCCGAAGTTTTGATCCATCGACAAACATGGCCGCCATGGCTAAAAAAAGAACATAGGGGTCAAATGCAGTTTTTGGCTTATATCTCAAAAACTAAAGCTTTTAGAGCAAATCTGACATGGGGGGGAAATTGTTCAATTGGTCAAGATCTATCAGCTCTGAAATTTTCAGACGAATCAAACAACCCATTGTTGGGTTGCTGCCACCGATTTGGTAGTTTTAACAAAATTTTGCATTTTTTTATTATTTTGAATATTATTATAGATATATATAAACTGTAAGCAGCAATAATGTTCAGCAAAGTAAGATCTACAAAAAAGTTAATATGACCATAATTGTCAATTGACCCCTTAAGGAGTTATTGCCCTTTAAAGACAATTTTACACAATTTGTTCATCAAGTTTGCTAACATTTAAAATTCTTCTCCTCTGAAATACAGGTGAGCGATTCAGGCTCTTGATAGCCTCTTGTTTTTATTTGGAAGAAATAGGATAATCTGAATTAATTTATTGTAGTAAATAAACCTTTTATTATGTTTTCAGCCACTGGCCTTCTTCAGTTTTCTGTTATCTTTCTTACTTGTATGGTAGACAAGCCACTTTTCCCAAAGCATTTAGATGTTATACATATAAGTAAAATAGATAAACATTTTTGCATGTATATTTCACAATATATGTGGCAATTTTTAAGAATCATCAGTACCATTTTTCACCTTTTACTTGAAACTAGATTGAAATGTTTTATGTAATATTTTACAGCAAAGAACAGACTTTATTCCTTCCCCAGTAAGTTATGTTCATCTGGACTATTCCAGATCAATATAACTTACTTGGGAATGAATAAATAAGGAGAGGGATAAAAGGCCAAAAATTACAAGTTATGCTCATAGAATGTCTAGCTATACATTTTATGACACATACTTATGTATCATGCAATTAATAACTTTTATTTTACATATTTAACAGATGAGAAAGCCAGAGAGGCAGCTGCCAGTGCATATTATAATCCCAGTGCACCGCATAATGTACACATGGTAACAACGCCCTCGTGTCCACCATCTTATGATGATGCCACCAAGAAATATAATTGATATTCACTTCAACATACTCTTATTTACATACTATAAGTTTACATTCTTCTAAAATGGAACAAAATAAATAATTTTGAACTGTCAAACTTGGTATCAAAATGATTTTAGTAATTCTATTAAAATGTATGACAGGTAGAAAAGAGAACTTTTTATTGGCTTTTTATTCATTTGATTCATTTAAAATTACTGAAGTAATGAATTATAGATGGTGGGGGTATGGAAATACATAAATTCTTCTGTTTCCTTTCTTTTTGTTTTCCTGTGAATTGCAATTGACAGAAAAACGAAAAATTGATGAATAGATGAGTTGATTGTTACTTTTTTTATCAAAATTTTGTAAACCATTAAGTATTTCTGTTTTATATGAAGAGCTTGACATTTGACACAATACAACTTCAGTTCATTATTTACTCCATGTTGTTTCACCATAAAATATTGTAAGTGTATTTATACAGTATAACTTGTGTAGTCCTCTCCTCATCTGTCTAAATCTCTGCAACCAAATTTCCAAGCATGGATAGAGAAATATGTGATATTAATATAATTGTAATGCATTTATAGTCAATTTTTTGGGATGTGATTGTATGGAACATACTTTTGGAAAGGACTTTTCTGTTATGAATTTACTTGTTGATTTATTAGTCTGGATGGTAATTTATTTGTTATAGATATGATATTGTTGTTAAGGTTATTGTCTATAGTTTTGTGTATATTCATTTACATACAGCAAATGCATTTTTCATTCACTTGTTACATTTTTACTGAAATTGGATGATATTGTATTATGTCTTCATTTCTATTTTACCATTGTAGACATTTGATGTACGATTAGCTTTGATATCTAAACTTATCTCAGTATTACAGTAAAAACATATATTTTCAATTTTTACATCCAATGTTTAAACTATTCAAATATCATCAAAATACCAGTCTTAACCGTTTAGTGATGTAACATATTTTCAAACTTGGATAGCTAAGATCAATCAAACATAAAAAAGATAAAACAATAACTTATATTGATTTGGAAACATTAATTTCTATAGACAGGTTTTTCTTCTTAGTTTATCCTTTAAACTAAATGTTTATGGACGTTTTTGATGTTACAGACATCTATTGAAGAGTGAAAATTATTTGTAACTTTATTCTGTGTAATGTAAATCATGCATAATAAAGATATAAAACAAAAGTTTTGATTATTTTTCCTATCATTTAAATTTTATTAAATTATAATTAGATTCATGACAAAACCCCTGTTCCAAAAGAGTTTGCAGCATTTATAGATGCAAAAAGATGATTATTTTCATGCTTGCTTAACATCCAGCGGCAAATATTTCATTCATAATCAGGAATAGAACAAATCAACAATAAATTGAATGTTGATAAGTTTGGGTCTGAATTATTGAGATCTGGTCAGGTCAGACATACACGCTTGATAAAAGAAGTTAGGACCACATCCTTTTGAAATTTTCATCAAGGGCTACTGGAAAAATTACTGTGCCAAGAAACAGGACACTCTGCATGGCCAACAATTCCTAATTTTATCTCATTTGTATGCCCCTGCTGTGGCAGAGGGGGCATTAAGTTTTACCCTTGTACGTCCCAAAATTAGTTTCCATTCTCTAACTAGATTGCCTCAACCAAATGTATCAAACTTGTACACAATCCTTATTACCGTCAAAGACAGATCAAGTTCAAATTTGAGTGGTGTCACTTTCACGGTTCTAGAGTTATGTCCCTTTATAAATGGGAAAAATTGCTAAATTTGTTATTTCTGCACTATAATTTTAGTTTGCCTCAACCAAATGTTATGAAACTTATACACAATGCTTATTACCACCCAACACAGATCGAGTTCAAATTCAGGTTGTGTCATTTTCACCATTCTAGAGTTATTTTCCTTTGTAAATTAAAAAATATCTGAATTTGCCGCCGCATCTGTGCCTCATGGACACATCTTCATTTATTTTCAGTTTTCAAGTTTGCGTGTTTTCCAAAAAATCTTTAGTAACTTAATCAGTCATATTTTTTAATTATTGTCTCGCTTGCAAAGAAAGTCACAGAATGTGAGACAGGGATGCTTCATACCTTGTATACAGATACCTTATGTTATGAGGTTTCCGTCTATCATATGTCCATTGTCCTTGACCTCATTTTCATGGTTCAGTGACTGCTTGAAAAAAAAAGTTAATTTGTCAAGTGAAATACTCACTTATTTTGAGTTATGGGTTCCTTGCATCGTCAACATATCCGTCAGTTAGGTTCTCCTGATCTCTGTCTCATTTCATGGATTAGTGATCAAGGTTAAATGTACATGGTCAGGTCTGTATATGAGATTCTATAAGCAATAGGGCCACTATATTTGGTGTATGGAATGATTGTAAGGTGTACCTGTCAGTCTTGCAAGATTCATCTGACCTTGACCTCATTTTCATGGTTCATTTGACAATGTTAAGATTATGTGGTTTATCTTATTCTCAGGAATCATAAGCAATAGGTCAATTATATTTGGTGTATGGAATGACTGTAAAGTGTAAATATCTGTCTGGCAGGAATCATATGACCTTAACCTCATTTTCATGGTTAAATGGTCAATGTTAAGATTTTGTGGTTTCATCTGTTTCTCATGTTCTATTGGCCAGAGGACCACTTTATTTGGTGAATGGAATGATTGTAAGGTATTCATGTCTGTCTGGTAGGGATCATCTGACCATGACCTCATTTTCACAGAATATTGATAATGTTAAGTTTATGTGATACTTGTAGTAAAATTTCATATTTCAGACTTCAACATGAATTCAATGATAAGGATAATAGAAGAGTCATTTAAGCGTGTGCAGTCTTGTTTATCCAAGGTCTCAATTTAGAAACAACAAAATATCAATTATAATTCATAAAACAAACAAATTATGTCAAGGAAGTGATACCAACTAGAACTTCGACTTCGAACACTTTAAATGAGCTAATTTTAATATAAGATGTCAATAATCAGACAGAAAGATGTCTTTTAATGCAGTACTTAAGTCCATGGCTGCTACAGAAGATTTTCTGACAGATGCTCTTGTTATGGAAAATAAAATTCACGGTTCATACCTTTATTGTTTAGTATATATGACCGATGCTTAGGTTGGCTAGATGTTCTGTGCTGGTGCTCGTTAGTATAATAGTCCCAGGTTGAACATATGTAAACAAGGTCGAAAAAGATGATTGTTTTTATGTTTTCACGAATAAGATGTGAAAGGAATTGTGATAAAAAATGACTCGTATGGAACAAAGATGTGAACATCAAGGTCACCGTATGGCCTGAAACAACCTAACAACGAGCAACAAAAACCATACCATACAATAAGCTATCAAAATGGTTGAGGAATGAGAAAATGGAAAACAACTAAAAAAGAAATACCCACGCCCTGGATAATACTACAAAAATGATGGAAAAGCAAATAAGGCAGTCAAAAGCAACCAACGACAATCACTAGCTTGTGGCTTTTGTGACAGAGTTTTTTTTCAACGAAAAAATGTCAATTGGTAGTCGTCCAACAGGTTTCAGAACTTTGAAACTTAAGTTAACAACAAATCGAGAGAGAAGAACTTTTTAAAGTTTGCAGATAACACAGACCGTTATATCTTGTGCTCACAACAGTCACTAGTATCATACATATACATCGGACATTCCGACGTCATGTTGAATGAAAAAAAAAAAAAACTTTATAAATTTCGTGCGTCCGAATGCCTGTTGCAAAACACCTGTCCTACTTCCATGACAAATATTTTGTTTTCCCCGCAGATAAAGCCTTTAAACAACATCTTTTTTGTGTGTAAATCATATTACATAAACTGACTGATAGATGAAATACTGGTAGGTATTGAAAATTCACTCGGAAACTCAACATATACCCCAACGACACTGAAATCCTTGATAATCATAGGTCTGTTCTATGTTCTATGTTCCTTTTGAATTTCAACCAAAGATGAAGAACAGGATCTTCCTTCACTGTATTGGGTATTTAAGGGAACGACCATTTAACTACACTTTACACAAGCATTCCCCATTCCAAACTAAAAGACAAATTGAAGGAGTTGGTCCTGCTTTGTTTCATAGAAAAGAATGGCCTACGAAGATACAAGTTTCTTGTCTTGGGGAGGGATAAATCGTACTTTGTAAAAAATCATTCTGATTCAAACACAAAATTCTCTGGAACTGAAATTATCAAGATGCTTGATTTCTTGATTGACAACATAATTGTTACGTTTACAGGTAGTGTATTTCAACAAACAACCAGCATTCCCATGGGAACCAACTCTTCTCCTCTTCTTTCCGACTTGTTCCTTTATTCATATGAGGCTGACTTCATACAGGAACTTCTTAGGAAGAAAGAACAGAAGTAGCAGTATTCTTTAACTTCACTTTCAGCTATATAGATGATGTTCTCCCACTAAACAATTCAACATTTAGTGACTATGTTGAACGCATCTATCCCATCGAACTTGAGATAAAGGATGAGCCTCCTCATTGGGGTTTTGATTATGTGATTACTTGGCCGATTTTAAAGTGATTATTTGATTACCAGACCAAATATTTCATGATTATTTGATTATAATAAAAAAAAAATTGATAATCTAGGACTGTATTTTTTATTATTTGATTATCTTGTTTAAAAAAATAATTAATGATTATATTGGCAAAAAAATTGTGATTGTGTGATTACTTGGACACCTCCATGAGGGACCTCAAGGATACAACAGATACAGTTAAGTCTGCCTCATATCTTGACTTACATCTAGAAATTGACAATGATGGTCGGTTGAAAACAAAACTTTACGACAAACGAGATGATTTCAACTTCCCAATTGTTAACTTCCCATTTCTATGTAGCAACATTCCAGCAGCACCTGCATACGGAGTATATATCTCCCAGTTGATACGATATACCAGGTCTTGTATTTCCTATCATGATTTCCTTGATAGAGGGTTGCTGCTCATAAGGAAGCTATTAAACCAAGAGTTCCAAGTGGTGAAGTTGAAATCGTCCCTTCGTAAATTTTACACACGCCATCACGAGTTGGTTGACCGTTATGGAATATCCGTTTCACAGATGACAACGGATATGTTCCAATTGTCGTAACTACAATCCCGTCCCCTTTTCCCTGAATGTGACCTACCGAATTAGACTTATCAACGGGTTTTGTACTAACACGAGCAACACGACGATCGCCACATGTGGAGCAGGGTCTGCTTACCCTTCCGGAGCACCTGAAATCACCCCCAGTTTTTGGTGGTGTTCGTTTTGCTCAGTCTTTGGTTTTCTATGTTGTGTTTTGTGTGAACTGTTGTTTGTTTGTCTTATTCTTTTTAAGCCATAGCGTTGTCAGTTTATTTTCGACTTATGAGTTTGAATGTCCCTTTGCAGGGCCGTTACTACATTGAGGCAAATGAGTCAAATGTCTCATGTTGGAAATATAAAAAAAAAATAAGTTGAAACAAAAGCTTGTCTTCATATCAAATTGTTTTCACGGCGAGTGTCTTGAATGAAGCAAGTTATGTTCACCTACTGACGTCGCCCCTTTTTTTTTCGGGATCCATGTTTCTCATTTATTTTTAGTTTTCAGTGTTGATTGTCTGTTATTTGTCGACCGTTATGTGTCTTATCTGCATGTTCCCGGGTTTGTCTTTTGTTCATTGATTGCCCTTCTTTTCTTTATGACTATTGTCTTAGTGTTGAATTTCATTTATAAATTAGTAATTTTGTTTTAAACTTGAGTTTCGTTATATTTAAGAACCGTGTTAAGGCCCTTAAATGGAAAATAAAGGGATATGGAGTAAATTTGCATGTGATTAAATCGCACACAATACATAGAAAAAAATACAAATTATCAATGAACAGGTCTTTTATTCCTATTCTTAATCTTGACAATCGCTTGAGGGTCTTCAACAATGAACGAATCATGCATACCCTACAACAAGGTCAAGACGGCCCCTAGCGTCGACTTAATCGGTACTTAAAGCATTGTACTGTGCCGGAATAAAGTTCAAAGTCAGAAAAAAATACACCAAAGTCTAAACACAATACAAGTACAGAACAGACAGATCCGACATTAGTCAGCCGGTATACATATTAAAACAGCACAAAAATGTAGCAATGAGGTCTAAGAACAGTTTTCATGAGTCTACCCTGAGTGTACCCTTTTATCCCAGTTAGTTGTAATTGAAATGTGCTATAAAAACTGAATTCACATAGTTATATCAATGATAATCAACCCCCTCTTAACTTAATTTGAAAAAAAAAACACATAATTGACAGGTATAATACGCGTTTTTCTGCAAGCCGAAACTCAATAAAAAAACAATTTAAAAAAAACAGCAGCCACACACATAAGTGAATTACGATTTTTGCTTTATTCTACATTTCGGTCTTTTGATGTAGTCCCTAAAAACTTAAAGTGGTTGTTATTTGTTGGTATTTGTTTTTCGTTTATTTTTTTGGATAGTGTGGTCTTGTTTTATGCTGTTGCACCACTGTCCCAGGTTAGGGGGAGGGTTTGGCGCCATCTAACTAGTTTAACCCCGCCACACTCTGTATGTGCGTCCCAAGTCAGGAGCCTGTAATTCAGTGGCTGTCGTTTGTTGCTGACTTACATATTTATTTTTCGTTCATTATTTTGTACATAAATTTGGCCGTTAGTTTTCTCGTTTGAATTGTTTTACATTTGTCATTTCGGGGCCTTTTATAGCTGACTATGCGGTATGGGCTTTGATCATTGTTGAAGGACGTACGGTGACCTATAGTTGTTAATTTTCTGTGTCATTTGGTCTCTTGTGGAGAGTTGTCTCATTGGCAATCATACCACAGCTTCTTTTTTATATTTACACTGAATCTATATATTTCGCTTTGATACCAGAATATTGTCGAAAAAATAATTAAAACAAAACTTGCGTTTCAGATTAAGAAAGGGTCCGGGAAACGCTCAGAATGCACGATTTTGCGTCATTTTTTCCAGAGCTCCTGGGGGCCCTTTAGCGGCCCCAGACCCTTCGCCGAATATATTTTGCCTCACTTTTAAAAGAGGCTAGTTACTGTCCTGCTTTGGTATCCTTCGTCTCTCTTTTTCAGACATTCCAACGTCATATTGAATGAAAAAAAAAAACACTTTATAAATTTCGTGCGTCTGAATACATATAACCTAAGACAATGTAATATAGATTTTGGTGCAATACTTTAAACGTTCAGTGCATGTACATACATGTCGTATAATTTTCTTGTTGCCAGGAAAACGAGGTAAATGATTCTAAACCCGCAATAGCATCACTTGTAATTTCTATATCAGAAAATGTAGTATTATTTGCAGAAGATAATTTTTGTTTATTTCTTATTGAAACTCTACCATAGAAGATGATATCACGTTTCCATGTATAGGCATTACTTTCTTTTTTTAACGCACCAGTTTAGAAAAATTCCCTTTCCCGTTTTTTTTTAGTTTGAGCCATATTTAACAGCAGAGACACACACACACATATATATATATATATATATAAGAAAATTTAATAAAAGATAATAACGGTTTCAATTCATCACATTTACTAGCGCTTTCACAGATCTTCAGGTAATGTGACTTGTATACATTATTGTTAACAATAGTACGACGTTAACAAATACAAGGGAGCCTACTAATGTCATTTGGAAATTTGGGTAAACTCTTCAAAATGTTATTTAAGTAAAAATTAAAATATCAGTTATCATTTAATCCCGGGTTGAGAATGTTTAAGAATAATTCTTCTTTCTTCCGGAGAACCCCGCCACATTCTGTATGTGCCTGTACGTCCCAAGTCTAAATTGGAATCTGCTTGTATTACGCTACAATCAAACTATGAACCATCTTAGTCCCAAGTCATGAGCCTGTAATTCAGTGGTTGTCGTTTGTTGCATGCTGTATGCCATATTTGTTTTTTCTTCATTATTTTTGTACATAAATCAGGCCGTAAGTTATCTCGTTTGAATTATTTTACATTTGTCATTTCTGGGCTTTGTTTAGCTTGCTATATATGCGGTATGGGTTTTGCTCATTGTAGAGAGTGGTATCGTGACCTATAGTTGCTAACTTATACGTCATTTTGGTCTCTGGTTAAAATTTGTCTCACTGGCAATCATACCACCATTCCTTATTTGTATATTAACGTTGCTTATCTGACATAATACAGTCACTAAATAAGCGAAAGAAGTTTTTATCTATCAATTCAAAAATATTCGATGTCAACAGTTTTGAATATTAGGCACCGTATATATCTCAATTTAAAGAGCACAATACCAGGGCACATGTAAAAAGTACCATGACATATTTTCTCGATCATCACCAGCACAGTCATCATCAGGACAACTTCCATTGGAGAATAAAAAATCGACGAACTATTATAAAACTTCACGAAGTACGTATAAGGTATAATTGGCAAAAAGTAATCAACAGAATTGGTGTGTCCTTTGTTCTTAGTGTAAGTTGTTTTCGTGCTTAGTGCCAAATCTATCGAGTTTTTTCACTTTCCTACAGATTTATACAGGTTTTTGTTATGTTGTGAAGTTACACCATTGTCCCTGTAGGTTATAAGGAGGGTTGAGCGCTCGAACTCATGTTTAGCTCCGCCACATTATTTTTCTGTCTCAAATCAGGAGTTATAGTTATTCATGTCTTTCATGATTGTTTGTTATTCAGTGGCTGTCTTTCATCATTGTTTGTTATTCAGTGGCTGTCTTTCATCATTGTTTGTTATTCAGTGGCTGTCTTTCATCATTGTTTGTTATTCAGTGGCTGTCTTTCATGATTGTTTTTCGTTCATAATAGTTTAAACATAATTCTAAATCATGCCGCTGGTTCTAGTATTTTTTCAGTATCTCGTTTGAATTGTTTCACATTTTGTCATGTCGGGTGCTTTCAAGCTAAGATAGATACGATCTAACGAATATATATTAATATTAACTACATATATGACTCAAACTATCAAGCAAATTTCAAATACAAGTTTTTCTTGTGACTTTGTTGTTTTAATACCTTAGAGACATATGTAATCTGTAATACCAGAACTCCATTACACATATTACATCAGAAATTTATCTATAGTCTTAAAATTCTTATATTTGTCGTGTACATCATTAAGGAAGCATGTTTATTTTACGTACGTTACACTTAATCTTCATGTTTTTCACCGTTTGTTTGCATAGTTATATGTATTTTTTAATATGTAGATATATTATATTTTGAGTTATTCAGAGGGCCTAACGGGAAGATTAGTATTGTACAAACTGATGTTACCCTCTTTAAATAAAGTATTTATTAATATTTATTATTAATATTTATTATTATCATTATTTATTTATTATTATTATCATTATAATGCATTATCATTATCATTATCATTATTATCTTTTTATTATTATCATTATCATTATTATAATTATTATTATTATGCATTATCATTATCATTATCATCATTATCATGATTATTATTATCATTATTATGCATTATCATTATCATTATCATCATTATCATTATTATTATTATCATTATCATTATTATTATTATCATTATCATTATCATTATCATTATCATTATCATTATTTATTATTATTATTATTATTATTATTATTATTATTATTTATCATTATCATTTATTATTAATATTTATCATTATTATATGTTTTGCCTAAATATAAATTTTTTTTCTACCAGAGACTTTTTGCTACATATATCAAATGTGTGATTTTTTTCCTTCAAATATGTGACTTTTTTCGTCTGACGTTTTCCGGGGTCCCCTTTTTCAAATTCCTGGATTCGTACCTGCCTCATCGGAAAACCTTTTAGTGAAAAAATAATGACACATTAATCGTCTGTCGAGGAAGTAAATCGTGTGACGGAATTGTAATCTCAACTGAAACTCGAAGTTGTTTCCCCTGATTTGACGTGGCTATGGTGGTCGCCATTTTAGGCGATAAGCAGTCGATACCGGCTTTTAATCCAAGAATATCTTCGTAATTAAAGGCCATCGTGATAAAATTCAAGCATCAATATGTTAACAAGGATGATATCACTACTCCTGATTACGCTTAATTGTTTTAATGGAGTCATAGGGGATGAACATAATCATATGGTAAGATAACCCCAAATCTGTCAAACTTGGTTTGTTGACGTTTACTCAAAAACAAGATAAAATGTCAAACGACATTGAAATGTTACGAAATTGTTACTACGATTAAAACGATAATAATGAACGAGTCACTTTGAAGAAATATGAATAGAGGAACGATCATGTTGTAAAAAAATTACATTTTGATGACGACTGTGTCTGTAGCATTGGATGTTGCAAAACATTCAGAGTCTGTCAGTACAAATTATGCTCAGCCCTTGATAATGTCTTTGGTCTGCTTTTATTTAATTGGTACTGGACTATTTTAATATAACCCTAAAACCAACTCTTACCAATACAAAAATCTAAAACCTAAGCCTTAACTAAAACAAACTGAGTGATGCATGAGGTTTTGGCCACACTACCACTTCAGCCACAGTTGATATAAATATTGTATGGGGAGCGATTTAAAATTGTGTTTACAAACAGACTAGCTGTTGAACCATAGCTCATAGGTCTTTATGATATATTTTGACAATCAGAAGATCATAGAGCTTCAGATTATTCCTATTTTATAGTGTGAATCGCGACCCAGGTTCAATCCCACTTATTTAAAAAAAATCATTGTTTATCGCCTGTGTATAGCCTGCCAATGTATACAGTTCGTTTTTTTCTATATGAGGTATCTATTTATGTTTGATCATTCACTTCCTTGAGTGCTTGACACTGTTATCCAGCTATTTCCTTTTGTACAAGTCTCTGCCTATTTCGTTTAACCATTTTTAATTTCATGTTAGCGTTATTTAAAACAAGAAAAAAATGATAGGACCATCAGATTCTTGAGAGGACCAGTAATAGTCTGATTTCTGTTAGTCCTTGGTTTGACAGAAAAAAATTGAAAGTTTTGCTGATTGTGAAATTTAATAAATCTAATATTTAAGAAAACGTGCTTTCAATCAATTTGTATCATCATTTGTTTATGTTTCCATCTCATGATGACTTTCACATTCATGCATTTTCCAGTGCAATGCTTATGTTTTCATGTCATAGTTATGAGTTGATCGTTCAATGATGTCATTTACAACAATTGACCTTGGCTAACTCCATTCTTAAAAATTGTGTTTGGAACAACTCAAACAAAAATCATGACATTGCCGATCAGCTGACATGTACAATATATTTGTATTTTACCACAGATGTGTACTCAAAGTGTTTGAAGAATGTCATATTAGAAATTAAGAGTGCAAATACATGTTACATGTACATTTACAATGACTGACTTTTGAAAAGATTTTATTGAATATATACATGATATACGTGAGCAACTCTCGCATAAATGCCACTTCTGATCTCAGTGTCATTCAAAAAACAACTACAATGTAGTTGCAAATTTATTTGTAACGTCAAGCACTTGAACAATGCATATTAATGTTCTATTGGAATTTGAATATGGCTTTGTTTTCTTAAGCAAAAAAAAAGAGAAACATCATATTAGAGTTAGTAATATTAACCTGTCATTTTAATAAGAACAGAATTTATAGACTTCACTGAAAATGCAAATTGAACATGTTGAATGTTGTATAGTTTATTTTGATACATGAACATGATAAAAAGATACATGTACATGTAGTAAAATAATAGTTTTATTAATTGACCAATTCCTTTTTGTCTAAAACTTTATTTACTTTTAATGAGAAGCCAATCAATTGTTCTGTATGGCTATAATTTTAATGACTGACACAATTTTCAGTATGACGAAAGTGAAGAGGTTGTATTATGGATGAATACAGTTGGCCCATACCACAATAGACAAGAGACATACTCATATTTCTCCTTACCATTTTGTGCTGGTACGAAAGAGAGTATTGGTCACTACCATGAAACACTGGGTGAAGCTTTGCAAGGTACAGAATTGGAATTCAGTGGACTGGACATAGACTTTAAAGGTATATTAAATTTCAGACTGCTAGAAAAGTTCTTTATTGCATGTTATTTTGGGCCGTCTTTTCATTATAATCGACAGACTGCAAATAAAAAAATGATGTATTTTTGTCTATCAGGGGGAAACAAAATTTAATTAGAGATTAATGCCAGTCATAACTATCCACCAGACCAGATTAACGCAGTGATAACTATCCACCAGACCAAAGGACAAAGATGTAATTAACTAGAAGTCATCATACAGTCTACAACATTAACCCTTTCGCCGAGGAATCCCAGTTTACCGGGATTCACGCTTCAGACAGCTGACGACTAGTCCCGGTTTACTGAGATCAAAATACCTCTTTTATATTTCCCGCTGAAAATCATTGCAAACACAAGTTATCTTTCTTTGTTTAATACCTGTATGAAAGTGTAAATATGGCGCTTCTGTTTGTTGAAAACCGTGTCAAAATCAGATGAAATTTACGGTTTTACTGGAATTTGATATAAGGGAACATTTTTTTGGAAAGAATTTGGAAGATTTGAAGCCAGACTTGTATACTTTTTTGACATAAAATGCCGTTTTATGTACAAAAACACTTGGAATGGACATTGTTCAGTGTAAGGAATTTGTTCAACCTCGTTAAAATTTTCAAACTTTTGCCGTTTTGGGTTACAAAATTACAATTTTGGGTCATATAGTCGAATTTCGTGTATTTCATCTATTTTAATGCCGAAAATTTGCAAATTTTGATTTTTTTCTGACAAAATATTTATTAAAACATTTAACAACTCTGTGTCCATGGTGTAAGTTATTAAAATAAAGACAAAAATAACTACAGACAATTTGTTATTGATATTTAATATGAAGATCACCCACTTGTGTCACAATAGCCAGGGAAGCCATCATCTCAGAGTAGCTTCTGTCAGGGCAGCTATCGGTGAAAGGGTTAAACAAAACCAAATTATACACCTTATAGTGGACATATTATTTTAACTGTGTTAGTTACACAAAGAACATGTCTTAAATTTTGTTGAAATCATTATCCAAAATGTCAAAATTAGCAACATATGAAGTTTGTCCACCTGTCTTCCAAGTTATAAGGACTATGGATGCTTACATTTATAACAGAATCTTAAAAGGCATTAGTCAAGCAGATTGTTAATTGATCATATTATAATTACTTTCAATATATTTTGTACACTAAGCACACTGTGTTTGATTGAGAGTACAAGTTGTTGTTCAGTTTACCTTAGGATACATTGTAAGTGTGCTAAGAGGTAACCACATGTCAGCTCAGCCTCACTGCTGGGTATTGAAGATGAAAGAAATAAGTTAAACCTTTAATTTTCAGGTGACGTAACAAGAGTAAAGTACTGTCAAGTAGAATTGTCCGAAGAGAAGTATCAAGCATTTGTATATGCAGTCAAAAATCATTACTGGTACCAGATGTACATTGATGATTTACCTATATGGGGTATGTATAGAAGATGTATTAAAATTTTAGAATGCATGTAAACATATTATTGATAATCTGAGATTGCTCTGATGTCTGTCTCCCTTTTTTTTGGGGGGGGGGGGGGGGGGGGGCTTTGAGCAGTAAGTTTGTCTGAAAACCATATTATATTCTCCATGCATCAGTTGTTTTTATCGACGAACATTTACCTTTTATTGACAAATTGTCACAACTTTTTATACGACCGCAAACAAATTTTTGTGGTCGTATATTGGTATGACGTTGGCGTCGTCGTCGTCCGGCGTCGTCCGAAGACACATTGGTTTTCGCACTCTAACTTTAGTTTAAGTAAATGGATCTTTATGAAATTTTACCACAAGGTTCAATACCACAAAAGGAAGGTTGGGATTGATTTTGGGGGTTATGGTAATAACAGTAAAGGAATTGGGGGCCAAAAAGGGGCCAAAAATAAGCATTTTTGTAACTTCCAGACATAACTTGTGTGTTAGTGTATGGATCTCTCTGACATTGTACCACAAGGTTCCATATCACTAAAGGAATGCTGGGATTGATTTTGGGGGTAATTGCCTCCAAATTTTAGGAATTAGGGGCCAAAAAAAGGGGCAAAAAACAAGAATTTTTCTAGTTTCATGACAATAACTTGTGTGTAAGTGTATGGATCTTTCTGAAATTGTACTACAAGGTTCCATATCACAAAGGGAAAGCTGGGTTTTGAGTTTGGGGGTAATTGCCCTAAACTTTTAGGAATTTGGGGCCAAAAAGGGGCCAAAAAACACATTTTTTTCTAGTTTCCAGACAATAACTTGTGTTCAAGTGTATGGATCTCTCTGAAATTGTACTGCAAGGTACCATACCACAAAGGGAAGGCTGGGATTGAGTTTGGGGGTGATGAATCATAATGGGGGTTCAAAAAATTTTGGGGGGGGGGATTTATTTTTTTTTCATTTTTTTTCTTTTTTTCCTTTTTTGTTTCTTTTAAAATTTTCCATTTTAAGTTGGTTATTTCTGATTTATATTTAAAATCAAATAATAATGATATGGTAGGAGATACACACCAAACAGGATGTGTAAATTATTATATAATAAGTATTGTGCAATAGCAAGAAATTTTCAATTGCACAGTATTGCACAATAGCAAGAAATCTTCAATTGCACAGTATTGCGCAATAGCAAGAAATCTTCAATTGCACAGTATTGCGCAATAGCAAGAAATATCCAATAGCACAATATTGCGCAATAGCAAGAAATTGTCAATTGTACAGTATTGCGCAATAGCAAGAAATATTTAATAGCACAGGATTGTGCAAAAGAAGATACTTCCTATAAATTGCTTATTTCTTGACCAATTTCAATGGGGTTTTATTCTTGATTTCATGGGGTTCTTTAATATGCTGAATCTAACCATGTATTTAGTTTTTGGATTTTGGGCCCCGTTTTTAAATTGGTCCACATTGAGGTCCAAAGGGTCCAAAATTAAACTTTGTTTGATTTCATCAAAAATTGAATTATTGGGGTTCTTTGATATGCCGAATCTAACTGTGTATTTAGATTCTTAAATTTTGGTTCCGTTTTCAAATTGGTCTACATTAAGGTCCAAAGGGTCCAAAATTAAACTTAGTTTGATTTTAACAAAAATTGAATTCTTAGGGTTCTTTGATATGCTGAATCTAAACATGTATTTAGATTTTTGATTATGGGCCCAGTTTTCAAGTTGGTCCAAATCGGGGTCCAAAATTAAACTTTGTTTGATTTCAACAAAAATTGAATATGTGGGGTTCTTTGATATGCTGAATCTAACCATGTATTTAGATTTTTGATTTTTGGGCCCCGTTATCAACTTTGACCACATTGAGGTCAAAAGGGTCCAAAATTAAACTTTGTTTGATTTCATCAAAAATTGAATTATTGGGGTTCTTTGATATGCTGAATCTAACCGTGTATTTAGATTCTTAATTTTTGGTTTCGTTTTCAAATTGGTCTACATTAAGGTCCAAAGGGTCCAAAATTAAACTTAGTTTGATTTTAACAAAAATTGAATTCTTAGGGTTCTTTGATATGCTGAATCTAAACATGTATTTAGATTTTTGATTATGGGCCCAGTTTTCAAGTTGGTCCAAATCGGGGTCCAAAATTAAACTTTGTTTGATTTCAACAAAAATTGAATATATGGGGTTCTTTGATATGCTGAATCTAACCATGTATTTAGATTTTTGATTTTTGGGCCCCGTTATCAACTTTGACCACATTGAGGTCAAAAGGGTCCAAAATTAAACTTTGTTTGATTTCATCAAAAATTGAATTCTTGGGGTTCTTTGATATGCTGAATCTAACCATGTATTTAGATTTTGGATATTGGACCATAATAGGTGAATGTCCAATTTAAAATTTTTAAGTTCTTAGACCACATTCAATCTGTGTTAGAAACCTATGCTGTGTCAAATATTTAATCACAATCCAAATCCAAAGCTGTATCAAGCTTGAATGTTGTGTCCATACCTACACATATATTAAGGAATATTTTCTTTTTAATGCAAATGCAGCAAATATTGACATTCTTGGTAATTAAGCCTCATGATTACAAAGTCAGTGGGGACTGGGGAGATGGTACTTGATCAGATAGGTTAAATGATAGCAAAATTGAGGCCTTCAAAATGATAAAAGTGTTTTTATAAAATAAAATGATATATGATATGCAGTGTACATGTACCAGCATAGTTTAAACTGGTATTCTGAGAGATTGATGATAGGAACAAAGGCTTATATAACTTTAGAATTCTTTATACAGGTATTGTGGGTGAGATAGATGAAAAAGGTGATGGCTACTATCTCTGGACCACCAAAAAGTTTGATATTGGTTACAATGACAAGCAGATTGTAGATGTTAACCTGACCAGTGAAGAAAAGGTCAAATTGGAACCTGGTGCGGTTATATCATTCAAATATGAGGTAGGTGTAATGAGGATACAAACACAAATATTGATTCTTTAGGTAGGTGTACAGTGGATACACATCAAAATATTATTTAATTATGCAGTCAGTATAACCAGATAACAGGATACACATCAAAATACCATTCAGTTATAAGGTTGGTGATACACAACAAATTGTCACCCAGTTATTAGGTTTGCATTAAAAAGATACAAAACAAAAATATTGCTGTATGGGGTCAATGTGAAGAGGATGCATGCCAAAGTATCATTTAGTTATGAGGGTATTTAAAAGAGGAAACAAGCCAAATATCATTCAGTTGTGAGGTAAGTGTACATACATAGAAGATACATGACAACATGTCATTACCTGTATGTTGGCAGATATATGTAACAAGGATACACTTGCACATATCTCTCAACTATTAGGTAGTTGAGGATTCTCAACATAAATTTTCCTAGCTACAAGTAATGATAAAAGGATTTTAAAAAAACCTTGAAGTATGTGAAAGGAGGACTTAAAAAAGAAAAATATCATGAAACGTTTATTATCAAGGCTGCAAAAATAAGATAAGTGTAGGATACAAAACATCATTACAGACGGAAGCTTGGTTGATGTGTTATTCAAGAACAAATTGGAACAAAACATATCATACGTTACATGATAAGTGTTAGATGGAATATTATTCAGTTACAACTTACAATATAGGTTTTTATGCTGATATTAAAGAAACAAATTTACAACAATTATTTGATACTTTTGAAGATTCTACTGTATAGTTGTAATGATAATGTTTGAAATTATTTCTTTCAGGTGAAATGGTCGCCATCAAGTATAAAATATGAGAAAAGATTTGATAAATATTTGGATCCAAACTTCTTCCAACATAGGGTAAATATAAAAAAAAAATCTTATGGACTTCTGTATTGAGTTATGAATTTTCAACATATCATAAGCAAGACAAGGGAAGCAACTTTATTTATTCCTGTTTATATTTTACCTTAGGCTGAGGTAACAGAAGTTACATAATGGTATGTTCGATAGTCAAGATGTCAATCGAAACCATTTCAAATAAATTTTGGCTGTCAATAATTGTAAATTTGTTTGTTAGAAGTAAAAAAGGAAGAGTTGTGAAATGAAAGGGTTGGATGTTAATCAAGAAGGTGGGCCTATGTTCTGCAAAAGTGGTCAAGCTGGAACACTGTTTATATAAATGATAAATTTTTCTGAAATACCCCTGCTGTGGTGTCAAAATAACTTAATTTTTTTCATAGCAATCTTACAGTTGACTTTCGTCACTTTAATTACATTTATTATAATTATTGTATTTTCTTGTACAAAATAGCTGTTTTATACTGCTTTTATATTATAGACAGTGGTATTATTGTAATATACTGGTCAATAGAAAATGCCATTACAGTCTCAACAGTCAACCATCAATAATGAAGTATTACTATGTTGTACATTATTTTCAAGATAACTTTTAATGACTGTTTATAATCTTTATAATTTCAGATTCACTGGTTCAGTATCTTTAATTCATTTATGATGGTTATATTCTTGGTTGGTCTGGTGAGCATGATTTTGATGAGGACATTGAGGAAAGATTATGCCAGATATAGCAAAGAAGATGACCTAGACGACATGGTTAGTGTCAAAACCACAATGTGTTGTCAGTCGTATCTCACAATGTACATTTTTCTTATATTCTTCATAAAATTCAGTAATGATACATAAAAAGGAAACTCGGGAATAAACAAAAATACAGCACAATACGACAGAACACTCCTGACTCCTCCAAAATGTGGTGGGTCTGTGATAGGAACAAAAATTACAAGAAACTCTTCAAGATAAATTAATTTCACAACATCACAAAAATGTAACATTACTACTTTTTTGTAACGCATACATGTAATATATTTTTTAATGTACTTTATTTTATTTTTTTGTGCATGGTACTCGCAAAAATATGAAACATGATAATCATTTATAGAAGACTGAACATTACAACAATATGACACTGTTAAAAAATTAATACCAGTACTAAAAAAAATCAAATATTTTGAAAGTAAGAGCGATTTTGGTTATATAAATGAATCTCAATATTTATCACTTATATCAGTAATTACCTTTCCATGAAAAATCCCACATTTCAACCATTAAAAAAATTTATGATCAATTGTAGGAGAAGGACTTAGGAGATGAGTATGGTTGGAAACAGGTACATGGAGATGTATTCAGACCAACATCATCATCCATGTTGTTTTCAGCATTAGTTGGGTCTGGTTATCATATTGCAGTTGTCTCCCTTTGTGTGATTATTTTTGCTATACTTGGAGATTTATATACAGAGTAAGTAGATTTGACATGGTTGATAAACACTGATACCAGCTATTAGGGGACAGTTATATACAGAATAAGTAGACTTGACATGGTTGATAAACACTGATATTCTCACCAGCTATTAGGGGACAGTCAATTTGGATATGTTGCCCAATAGAAAAATAAAGGATATGGGGTATTTATCCATGACACAAAATCAGTACATGCACATAAAAAAAAAACGCAAAAAGCAAAGGAAGAGCACTTTTTTTGCTGTTCTTCATATCAAAGTCACTAGTTTCTATTTTGGTTTAAAAGTTTCTTTGTAAGATTTGCAAATGTAAAGATAAATAAAAAAATGTTATATCTTTTTTTTTAAATACGCATCTCAGGACTAACTGGGTCATAATAATAAGGTTACTTGGACTTCTCCTGTCAAGCAAGAAGACTCATCCTTACAGAAATTAGTTCAGTTGTCATAAATATATAAATGCTTAGCGACTCTTAGTTGGATTGTGAATATTTAATCAGATATCTGTTTGAAAACTCTTTCAACATCTGGTTTTCATTTTTTACAGCACTGGGTCGATACCTCTGCTGGTGGACTATCAGTCCCAGAGGGTACCATCAGCTCAGTAGTCAGTACTTCGGTACTGACATGATTTATAACAAACTTTTTAAAAATTTTCCGTTAATAAATTTTGAAATTATTAGAATCCAAGGTTTCAACTCCCTCAGGCAAAGTTGACCTTAGATGGATTTGGCTATTTTTTTTAAGTCCTTTTTGGTTATATAGCTCTTCAACTGTTTATGTTCTTATACATCCTTGGCTTTCAAATATTCGGCTTTGAGCGTTCCTGATGAAAATAAATCCAGAAAAGCGCTTCAGACCCATGAAATTTATAACGTGTTGTTTTCATTTTTTTTAGGAAAGCCTCAAGTTCTACCCTAAATTATCAGACAAATAAGATTGGTGACCCCTATTTTTCTTAATAGTTTCTGAAAATGGACTTAATTTTAATTAGCATCCAAAAATAACATCAATTTCTGCAGACAAGTTTTTTCCCCCTATGTAATAAATTTTGATATATAGTTGAATAATGACTGTTTTTCCCCATGAGAAGTTTGCAGGTATGGAACTATATATTTCAAATTGTATTTTGAATATCTGTTGTTTACAAATTTAATTTCTATCTGCCTTCAGAAATTCACATTCACTGTAACCATCTCCAGGAACATTTTAACATTTTTAAAAATCTTGCTTGATGTAGACAATTCAAAGATTTGTAAATAGGCTCTACATGATGAGATGCTTAATGAAAGTATATCAGCATCTGAAATATCTGCATTATTAAAATGTTTCTTTACTAAGAGAACATTAGTGTTCTTTGCTGTCTTAAATCCTTTGTTGAAAAAAGTATCTATTGCTACCAAAATAAAAAATGTACAGTAGTGACTATTTAATAGACAAATATTTCAATTAGAATAGTATGAATTTAGATATGAATATTTTCTATATTTTATAATGACATCATTTCTGTTATTCTTAAGAAGGAAATTATATCTACAAGTATTTTCCAGTATATTTTTAGGCATTAAATCATTGTCATTAAAAAAAAAAAATAAGTAAAATTCTTAATTTGTTTTCAGGAGAGGCTCCTTATTAAGTACTGCCATATTTGTGTATGCTGCAACCTCACCAGTGAATGGATACTTTGGTGGTAGTCTGTATGCTAAGATGGGAGGTAAATAATTATACCAAGGGAAGCAATGCCTCAATACAAATTTGATCATTGGTGCTATTATCTGTGCAATCCTATAAATATAAGCAGATGCTTCTCTAGTTTTACAGTAATCAACATTAGTATTTGTGATAATACTTCAATGTGTAATTCAAAGAGATTTTAGTGATGGCCCTTTTGATTTGCATAACTTTTGAGTTCAATAAAAACAGAGGAAAGATTACTTAGTTAAAAAATGACTGAATACTTATGTATTGTCTTACAAAGCTTTCTTTAGCTTTAAATGAACTGAACAGAGCTCATAAATTTAAACCTCAGTTATCAACTAATCTCATTTCTGAAACTATAGTTTGGGTAAAAACAAAACTGCATTGATATAATTATTGAAACATATATTTGTTTTTAGGGAAAGTATGGATAAGACAGATGCTATTAAGTGCCTCCCTGATGCCAGCTTGTGTTTGTGGGACAGCATTCTTTATCAATTTTATAGCCATATATTATCATGCCTCAAGAGCCATACCTTTTGGTACAATGGTAAGTATCTTGTGTTGTATGTACATGTTTTGGAAAAAAAATCTGTCCACATTTTGCTAGGTAGTTTAATTTGTATGGTATTAGAATTCACCAGTAGGTGACAAGCAGGAAATCTGTACAATTTGAATACTTCGATTATTTGTGGGATACTTATTTAGATGTTTTTTTGTGGGATATGAGTGAACAATGAATTTAAATATTTAAAAAAACTTACAAATTTCTTGTTGGCATGTTTGCAGAATCTGTGAAAGCAACACAATCATGTAACAACGAATATGCAAATGTTTTTATATAGATTATGAATGAAAAATTGTAGTAAGTTGTTATTCAACCAAAGTCAGTCATTGTGTATTAAAATCACTGAAAAATGACACAAAGGGAGACAATTCAATAGTATCAGATGATATTGTGTAAAATTTAAAATGCATATGTTATTTAAACAGTAAAAGCAGATAGATGTGGGTGTTAAAGTTTATCAGGTTGCTATTATGTGTAAATATATATGAATTACATGACCACTAATGTGTGAAATATTTGTTATAGGTTGCAGTAACATGTATATGTATATTTGTGATATTACCATTAACATTAGTTGGAACAGTTCTTGGGAGAAATTTGGCAGGCCAGCCTAATTATCCTTGTAGGATTAATGCAGTACCAAGACCTATTCCTGAAAAGAAGTGGTAAGAATATAATTACTGCATTAAATATCCAGAAAATCTCTTAACATGTCATAATACATATAACATCTGCTTTTATTATCTATATATTATTATACAACCGCAAAAAAATTTTGAGGTCGTATATTGGTATGACGTTGGCGTCGTCGTCCGAATACACAATGGTTTTCGCACTCTAACTTTAGTTTAAGTGAATGGATCTCTATGAAATTTTACCATAAGGTTCAATACCACAATAGGAAGGTGGGGATTGATTTTGGGGGTTATGGTACCAACAGTTAAGGAATTAGGGGCCAAAAAGGGGCCGAAAATAAGCATTTTTGTAACTTCCAGACATAACTTGTGTGTTAGCATATGGATCTCTTTGACATTGTACCACAAGATTCCATATCACAAAGGGTCAATGCTGGGATTGATTTTGGGGTTAATTGCCTCAAAATTTTAGGAATAAGGGGCCAAAAGGGGGCAAAAAACAAGCATTTTTCTAGTTTCATGACAATAACTTGTGTGTAAGTGTATGGATCTTTCTGAAATTTTGCTACAAGGTTCCATTTCACAAAGGGAAAGCTGGAATTGAGTGTTGTGGTAATTGCCCAAAACGTTTAGTAATAAGGGGCCTAAAAAGGGGTTTAAAATAAGCATTTTTTAGTTTCTAGACAATTACTTGTGTTCAAGTGTATGGATCTCTCTAAAATTGTATTACAAGGTACCATACCACAAAGGCAAGGCTGTTATTGAGCTTGGTTTGGGGGGAAAGGGGGGTGGGGGTGATGAATCATAAGGGGGGCGGGGGTCAAAAAAGGGGTAATTTTTTTTTTTCCTTTTTTTTTTGTTTAAAATTTACATTTTAAGTTAGTTATTTTTTATCACGAAGAGAAAGTAGGAATTGAGTTTTGGGGTTAATTGCTCAAACATTTATGAATAAGGGGCCAAATATTGGTCAAAAATAAGGATTTTTTTAGTTTGCAACAAAAACTTGTGTTCAAGTGTATGGATCTCTGTGAAATTGTATTGCAATGTACCATACCACAAATTGAAGGTTGTGATTGAGGTGGGGGATGATGAATCAAAAGGGGGTTGAAAAAATGTGTGGGAGGTAGGATTTTTTTTTTTCCTTTTTTTTTCTTTAAAATTTTCCATTTAAAGATGGTTGTTTCAGATTTATATATGAAAGAAAATAATAATGATACGGTTATATATCATGAGGAATTGAAATTGAAAATTATGTATATTGGAAATTTAAGTTACATTGGAAAGTAATAATTGGCTTTGGGGGGGGGGGGGGGGGGGTGGTGGTTATGGCTCTAATGTTTAAGGAATAAGGGGAAAAAAGGTTAAAAAACAAGGGTTTCCATTTAAATAGACAAATAATTGAGTAAAGAACATTATTTAAAAGCAGTGTAAGGTTGGTAATTCAAACTCATTTAAATATCTCATCTACACTGCTTTTAAATTATGTAAATTGGAAATTTGCCAATAACTTTATTGTTAATAAATGCATTGGAAATTTGCCAACAATTTTAGTGTAATAAACTTCATTGGAAATTTGCCAATATAAAATTTTGCTGATGAAGGTTTTTTGTTTACCTTTAGCCTTGACTATGAAGTCATTTTCTATTTTTATAGCCTTATGATGTAGTTGAATTATTTAATACTTTTATGATGTGTTTAAATGGGGTTTTATCATGTTTATGGTTGCAAATTTATTGTTTTAGTATAATAAACTCCATTTAAAATTTGTCAATAAAAAAAATTTTTGTTTATTTTTAGCTATGATTATGATGTCATTTTCTATTTTACTTTTATGGTTGCAAAGAAATTTTTATTTTTAGATATTACTGTTAAATGATGCTGATTAAGGTTTTTGCTATGTTTAGCCATGACTAAGATGTCATTTTCTATTTTAATATCTGTTATAATGTATTTAAATGGGCTTTTATGGTTACAAAGGAATTTTATTTTTAGATATTACTATAAAATGTTGCTGATGCTGATTAAGGATTTTGTTTATTTTTAGCCATGACTATGATGTCATTTTCTATTTTAATACCTTTATGATGTAATTTCCATTTTTAGATATTACTGTTAAATGATGCTGATTAAGGGTTTTTTGCTATGTTTAGCCATGACTATGATGTCATTTTCTATTTTAATATCTTCATGATGTATTTAAATAGGCTTTTATGGTTACAAAGGAATTTTATTTTTAGATATTACTTTAAATGTTGCTGATTAAGGATTTTTTTTATTTTAAGCCATGACTATGATGTCACTTTCTATTTTAATACCTTTATGATGTATTTTAATGGTCTCCCATGTATTTAGATTTTTGATTATTTATACATGTTACCAAATTGGTCCACATTGAACAAAAACGGTCCAAATTTCAACTTTATTACATTACATCAAACATTGAATTCTACATATTCTTTGATATATTGAAATTAACAAACAATTTAGTTTATGGATATTCCACCATAATAGGTAAATTAAATTTTTTCCAGTTCTTACACCACATTCATCCTGTGTCAGAAACCTATGCTGTGTCAAATATTTAATGACAATCCAAAGTCATAGCTGTATCAAGCTTGAATTTTGTGTCCATACTTGCCCCAACTGTTCAGGGTTCGACCTCTGCGGTCGTATCAAGCTGCGCCCCAGCGAAGCATTTTATTTTGTCTTTAAAAACTTACCAAAAGGCTTTGCTTAGTCCATTCAGTCTAATTTTCTAGATTTGTACTAAGATTTTTAATTTTGGATATTGAAATTTACAAGTTGAAAGTAATTAAACATTATGTTCAAAGAACTAAGTTATTTTAGGTTGTTTTGACTAAAAATTGTGATTATAGACTGTAAATGCAGAAATTAATGCAAAAAAATGGACAAAAATATAAGATAAAGTATTGTGTGATTTCTGAAAAATCTGCATACATATATAGGCATCAGATATCAGAATGCGTGTTCTTCTTATTGCTATACTCACCTAGTCGCACTTATAAAAACCTTGCAATGATTCTGAATTAGCAGTATCAGGTTCATGGAGCTTTAGAAATATTAGTTCCTGATTTTAGCATTAGGGATTTCATGGTTAACATATGTTGTGATTATATTTCAGGTTTATGGAGCCAACAGTAATTACTGTATTAGGAGGAATTTTACCATTTGGCTCAATTTTCATTGAAATGTAAGTTATTTATCCTCACTTCTAGAATAAATATTTCAAGTAAAGTCTATTGATTTTTTTATCATATACTGATAAAAGCAAAATGATCATAAATTTATAAAACATTTGAGTGAAATATTTTTGATACCTGTGTCACAAATTGGAGAGGACATAAAGTTTTTCTCATGATATAACATGTGCATGGTTTTATTTTCAGGTACTTTATTTTTACATCATTCTGGGCCTACAAGATATATTATGTATATGGTTTTATGTTGCTGGTCTTCCTGATTCTAATGGTGGTTACTGTGTGTGTTACAATTGTTTGTACCTATTTCTTACTTAATGCTGAAGATTACAGATGGTAAGCAATATAGTTTTATATGTTCATGAAATGGGCAGGGGCATAGAAATGTCCGTTTGGGTTAATACCACTATGGTTCTGAAATACATGTTTGAAATCATCTTTCTAAATTAATTTTTTCTAGATTTTTTTCTAAAATATCATAAAGGAACATATGGTTTCCTGAAAATTTGTATTTGATTACATTGAAAAGGAGCATACGATTTACCACAAATCTATCTGATTACCAAATGATTGACGACAAGTAGAATGAACATGCAAAATCTTCTGGGTAAAAACCAATAACCTTTGTGAGGTCATCAGGTATAGCACCTGCCTCATATTGAAGTGAAGTTAAAATAAAATGATGTGCTTTTTGAATGGAAAAGAATTATGTTAAAATACAAGGAAATTACTATTACATATTTCGGGTGTACAACAACATTAGATTGTTGTCAATAACAACATATGATGACATAACAGTCCCATGGAAATAGCAAAGTTATCATACATTTCATTTCGATACAATTTTTCAATATCCTTTAAAAGGAATACAGAATTTTTATTTTGTTTAGAATAAATGGCTATTATGGAGTGTAAAAATGCAAAAGCAGTTACTGCTGGAATTAGAAGCTGAACAAAAACAAAAACTGAATTGTTTGATATAAAGTCATTGATTAATATTTCTTTAGATATTTGTGGGTTAAATATTTAAGATTGCATTAGTTTGCTAGGATGAAAAGCACACGAGTTTAAATATGCAAAGTTCCCTTTTTTGGAAAAGATTGAATTTTACTAAAAAATAAAAAAAAAGGAGCCCAAATTGTGCTACAACTATTCTGAATTCAAATTTATGTTTATTGAAAGTTAAATAATTATTTTTCAGGCAGTGGACAAGCTTCCTTGCCGCAGCATCAACAGCAGGATATGTGTATCTCTATTCATTTTATTACTTTTTCTTTAAAACAAAGTAAGTAAAGTAAATTTATTTTTTACTTGTAGAATTTTGAGAATGGAAAACTATATGTACATTATAATTAAGTTTGTTTAAAAAATAAATAGATAAGATCTAAACATTAGGTTGTAGTTGATCATCTTGAGGTAAACTAGATAAATATATTCATTTTGCTATGAAACAACTACAGTTTCTTTATCTATTTTTATTGATTAGTGTTCGGTAAGTGTAATTACTTTAATTCTTTGCTTATGATTATTGAGTTGAGAGTATAAATTTGTCTTTTTTTCCAGAACACGTCAAGTTTTGGGACTTTTCTAGTTTGTGTTCTTGCAGACATTCTTTTCATAGTTTTCCGTTCTCACACATTCTCTGTGCTTGGTAATTACTGTAAAGGGAGATTATCGGGGTATTGTCTGTGCTTGGTAATTACTGTAAAGGGAGATAATCGGTGTATTTTCTCTGTGCTTGGTAATTACTGTAAAGGGAGATTATCGGGGTATTGTCTGTGCTTGGTAATTACTGTAAAGGGAGATTATCGGGGTATTGTCTGTGCTTGGTAATTACTGTAAAGGGAGATAATCGGTGTATTTTCTCTGTGCTTGGTAATTACTGTAAAGGGAGATTATCGGGGTATTGTCTCTGTGCTTGGTAATTGCTATATAGGGAGATTATCTGGGTATTTATGAGACTTGAGAACACTTGTATTAAAGTTGTATTGTTGATTTGTATGGAATAATGATATTTAATACTGGGAAATAACCATATCCAGACAAATAAAACAGCCTAATCAAGAAAATTTCATGTTGAAAAGCAGTTAGTCAAAATTGTTAATTAAAAAGTCAAAATGTTTAAAAGAGGTTGACAAATTATATATGGTATCCGATGGAAGTCCTGACACAAATAATGTCATAACACAAGTGTAATTATTAATATAGTTTTACTCTTAAGGAAGATTTTGTAATGCTGATCAAAATGAATTAGATTGTGTATGAGCATTATTATAGCTACTAATTAATTGTTTTATTATTTTTTTAGAATGTATGGATTGTTTCAAACAACCTTTTATTTTGGGTATATGGCCCTATTCAGTATGGCCTTAGGCATTATGTGTGGTAAGTTTTTAATATTTATTTCTGTCAAATGTAATATATTTACAGGGTTTAAGCTAGGATTTTTAGGGCTTTAGTCACTTTTGCGCGAGATGAAAATCAACATTATTTTTGGGTAACAGCAAGGGACCAAGGATGTATGTATATTACTAACTATAATACATCTTTGTCAGACTTTGAAGGACTAAGGCATAAATTTACTAGGCAGTAATTGCATGACTTGACTGATTTGTCACTTAAATATGAAGATTAGGATATAAGATCTGAAAATCTAGTTCAAAATTAGTTTCAGGGGACATTCCTGATGAACAAAAGTTAGGTTCCTTTTTTAAAACAAGAAATCACAGTAAACATGAACTTGTTGAACTTCGTAAGACTTTATTACACTGCATAATCATTATCCTTATAAGACATTAAAATCGATATTTTGAATTAATTTCTATAAAGTTGGAACCAAGGATTTGTACAAATTCACATGGAACGATTCCAATAACTGTAAGATGTAAATTAATCAAGAATTGATCACGTTTACTTTCGATTTTCAAATGAATGTAAACGGGAAGTGACAAGTAGACAATAAATTCAGAATGAATCCGGATTCATCTACGGATTGGTTCGTGTTTAAAAAAGACAGGAAATTATCATTTTCTTATTTCAATTTGCTAAGTAAGAACTATATTTGTCTCTCTCATTTATTTTGGCACTAAATTTATTTCGAAAACGTATTTTACGTTTTAGTGTCTATAAATTCATAGGAATACTTTCACGCATGCGCAGTATATCGTAAAGGAAGCACCTGTTTGACTCCAGGTTGATGATGATGGAAGTTTTTAACCTGAAAACATTTCTGAACGTTTTGAATAAAGTTCTATCTTTTTAATCGAAATTGAACGTTTTATATCAAAGATGACGAAAATACGATCATTTGACGAAACTACGACAAACGAACTGCAAATTATGATCGTTTTAGAAATATTGAAATTAAAAAGCGAACTGTCCGGGGGAAAACAATTTTGTTCAAATGACGAAACTAAGACAAGCGAACTGCAAATTGTGGTCGTTGGCCTTGAAAAATATTGAAATTAAAATGCAGACTGACTAATTTTACTGGGGAAAATAAATTACCGGATTAGTGACCCATCCGATGCCGATGGCGAAAAGCGGATTAGCTGTAATCACAACTTTATAACACCTGTTGTAAATGTTAATTAGCTGAGGGTCATAAACTTGTCAGAAACATGTAGACTTATAGTATTTTCATGCGAAAATATTTTTACACTTTCCAAATTTAAGTGACGAAATTGATTTGAAATACTTTCGTCATTTTGAAAACAGTTTCGTAAATTAAGAAAATGACGAGCGCTAGCAAAATCACTGATTTATATATACAGTACCAATAATATGGATCTCATATACAGTAACAATTAAAATAAATATGTGAAACTTGTTAGTTTTTGTTGTTAACACAAGCAGCATGTAGACAAAAATTGTTGCATAAGAAACAACAAGATAATATTATAAACATGGGAATTTGATCTCTTTGTATAATATGTATTATGTGTTTTGAAAAAAATGAAATAAATGTAAAAAAAAAAGTTCATTTGACCTGTTGCAAATTATTAAGTGGTATGCACATTTTTATTATTCAGGTACTTTTGGGTATATAGGAACAAGTGTATTTGTGAGGAAAATATATTCCACTGTGAAAATAGACTAAGTAATGAGGAGATGCTACAGCTGAGAAGGCATAATGGCTGTGATGTGAGGGACTATCTATATATACCATGTAATGGGATAACAGAAAGTGCTGGTCCAGATATTCTTATTTATGTTATTTATGAATTACTACAACAGCACCATATCAAACCAAAACGTCATGACACTAAGTAGTACAGGGTGCTTAACTGAATTTTATATTAAATAGACATGGTAGTATTTATGACCTTAAAGCATTGATACATCACAGTTTGAAGATCTGAATATCATTTTTGGTCCCCAGCATTTTACACTGTTTTGACATTGATTGAAAGATAACAACATTATATTAAACTAATTTGAATTATGAAAATTGAAGTTAAATCTTTTCTGAAAAATGTAATTCAAATTACGAATAAAAAAATTCCAATTTGACCATGAAATCGTTAATGTGAAGATGCATTAGATTAGGGATTTCTCCTGCTTATTCAAGCACCATTTAATGCTTTCTTTATAATTAAAAAGAAATATTTGTATTGAGATGTAGTTTTATTGAGTAGTACAAAAATGATGGAAGACATATTCTAGTCCTTTTGAGTTGAATAGAAAAAAAACATGGGTTAGAAAATAAAAATTAATTTGTTTGTATGTTCATATCACTTCATTACAATGTATTGCTGAAAACAAATGCTAACATTCTTATTGTTGTAAGAGTTAATGAAAGATGATTAATTAGTTTTTCTATATTTGAATGTTTTGAAAGGATGTTTAGAATTATTATTAAATAAAGTCATAAAATGTTTCATTTATTATGATGTTCCAAGTGTAGTGAGGTTTCATAGTGAGTATAAAATCATGTTGCTTTTTAAATCCAGAATTATTGATACTTTTCTATTATTGTTAAAGCATTTATTGTTACTGAGAAAAAATAATCTGAAGTTGTGATTGTATCTTGTTAGCAGACAAATTTGTAATGTGACATTTTTATTACATATAATTTATCCTGTAGTAATATGTTCTGTCATATTGTATGTTGATTTTGCCAGTTTTGGCAGAGTGCATTATGATATACTTCTGTCTGTCCAAACACACTTTGTACAATACTTCTAATGGGCTCTGACATGTTTTTTAAGATTATTCCACTAAATTCAGAAAGTTCTTCAGATTTTGAGTATTGTTTAGGAGTTACAGCACTGTAAATGAAAATGTGATGAAGGAGGGAACTGTTAATTTGTACTAAAGGTTTGATTTCATGGATTTTCATACAATTTAATGACCAATGGAAGACAGTTCCAGTTACAGTCTTGAAAAATATCTGGATTGTTGTTTTTGAGTCATGGGACTTTTAATTATAAAAAAGGGGAGGGAATTTTACACTTCAAGCAAACTCTTTAGTATCATTATGGGCCTTTTTTGAAATAAATCCAATTAAAAGTAATCCATTCTTTAGTTTGATGATGTTTTGATTTATCTCTGAAGCAACTGGACTTATTTCCTGTTAATGAAACAGTTACAACAGGTGTATCATGTGCTGTAGTTGTTATTTATAATTAGTACACCATTTCATACATTAAATTACTCCCCTTGAATCATCATTAACATTCCAGTAATATGTTATAGATATTGTTTTGGTGTCAGATATGTATTGATTGTGCTTCTGTGGGTTAAATCAAATCTTTTTTTTGTGACAATATCATTTTAATTTTATTGTTGATTGTTATGACTGGTTGTTGAATGTGAGATTTGTTCATATCACTGATTTGCATCTACAAATATTTTGTTGAATGGTAGGTAGTGTGAGATTTTGTGACACAGTGTTAACATATTGAAAATAGAGATTGCTTTAACTGAAAAATGCAAGTTTACTTAAATATTCATAGTTTTTTTTTTTTTTTCATTTCATAAACAAGACTGTATAAGATTGCAAATAATGATTATTTTCATGATGAGAAAAAAATAGAAATTATATCAGTTGCACATGTCTGAAAGTTGTAAAGACTAGCAACTATTGCTGGAAAAATAAAACTGCAGCAATCAGTGATAATAAACAAACTGTGTTTTCACTCTAAGTATGTACATTGTTGTTTGTTTTGATTCATCAGACTTGATATATTATCTATGTATTATATCTGTAAATAAGAATAAAATATTTAATAATAGTATGTTATCTTATGCATTTATAAGCTCACCTCGCCCAAATGTTTTATCAAGTTGTTTTCATCACATAGCTTCTGTTGTCCAGCATCCTTCCAGAATTCTTCAGCAACTGCTTAATTTGTTTTTATCACACACATTTTTCACTTGTTAGGACTATTTGGTATGTGGGATCCTTGTAAGCTCTCAATGTCTCTCAGACAGGTTTCATCTGCCCCTGAACTGATTTCATGGACCAGTGATCAAGGTTAAGTTTCAATGGTCAAGTCCATATCTGAGTAACTATAAGCAGTAGGTCAACTGTATTTGGTTTATGGAATAATTTTTAGATGTACATAATCTGTATTACATGGTACAACTGACCATGACTTCATTTTCAAGATTCATTGGTCAATGTTAAGTATTCGTGGTTGGGTCTGTTTTCAGAATCTATAAGCAATAGGTCAATTTAATTTGTGTTGGAAATAATTGTATGCTGTGCATGGCCATATGTCAAGAATCATCTGACGACCACATTATCTTGGTAAGGTCCATATCTCAGATACTATAAGCAATAGGTCAACTATATTTGGTATATGGAAAAATACTCATCAAGGATATCAGTCTTACAATTTTGTATGCCAGACAAACAGGTCTTCAAAAGACTCAACGTGAAGCTTGATTAAAAATGGTGAAAAGGCAAAACAAAGTATTGAAGGCCAAAAATTCTGCAAGGTTTGGCTAGCCATAAAACCAGGTTCAACCAAACGTTTTTAGGCAGTTAAGCTGCCTTATGCGAGCACCCTAGATTTGTGTTCTACCCAATAAATGCTGAAATACGTGCCATTGTTATTATCTAGCTGACTATTATGTTATTTATAACTAATTGGACATTTTTTTAATACTTTTTTTTCTGGAATACAAAAAATATGACCAGAAAAACCTTAAATGATCGTCGAACTACCCAAAACTTTTGAAGTTGCACATAGGAAGTAGTGCTCAATAGAAATCCGTACGTAGTTTATTACCCCCTGTGCTTTTGGCTACGATATCAAAGAACAATTGTATGAAATATTTCATTGCCGAAAATCGGTAATTACAAGTCTTTTATATTTCCCAAAAGGCAAAATGCGCAGAAATATTGTTCATGTACAACAAATCTCTATGATAGAGGAAATAAAGTTATATAAGTTGGCGGTAATTTTTAACTTATCTTGCCAAATAAGGATGTTGTTATTTTATGAATGAAACCAGAGACATATAATACAAGAGATTCGCAACTCTAGTAGAGTCTATATAACAGCCAATGAAATGACGTGGCCACCGGAAAGCCGATTAATCCGATGGATTTATGGGTAAAAAACCGCTATTGTTGTGAAAAAGGTTCTATGCCTCACGATTTTTCTAATGGATAATGCCGATACCTTTCACAGCTAAAGCATGCAAGTATATTTAAAAGTTGCAAAAAACTAATTATAATTTGTTATTGATAAAATGTGTTCTAATGATGAGATTAATCAAATACAAACAAAGTTAAAACTCTACCCATTTTACTTCACCTATTGCCGTAGAAACCATTTGATCTCCCAATTTTTTTCTTAAAACTTTGAAATATGCTAATAATATATAATTTTATGGGGCAATAACAGTTATTTCTAAAAATATCAACAAAGGTGACTATTATTTTGTTATTAATACACAAAGCCAGCTATGCTAATTTTATCAATCTGTTTCGTCAAAACTAGAAATTTACAAATAAATATGTCATATTATAGGAATATATATTACTCACAATTTTTTTTTTTTTTTATTAAACTGGCTAAATACTGAAATTGTTCATGGACAAATTTCCTTAAATCAGTCCTTCATTTTTGTGCACTATGAAATTTATAGCCTGCATTTTGTTAGACAATTTATTCATTTTTCATTCTGTTTATGGCAAAGTTGTTTATTTTCTCCTATTCTTAAGTCATTGTTTTTTTCTTCTTTCTTGTATTATATGTCTCTGATGAAACGAGGTCATGAAACAGATGCGGAAATCGACGTTGATGGGATGTTTTAAGTAATGTGGACAACTCGTTCCCGAGACAAGTCGGACCGAATCCACTCAAACCGTCTAAGAAGACTTTTGACCGTTTGTCAGATTTACTTAGGGTTTCATAAAATATTAGACTAACATGTCTAGCGGAGCCATTAATCTTTTGTTTGTGCATTGGGGTCTATTTAGGGGTATTTGGAGGGGCCTGAAGAAGGGAGGGGTTTACTATAAAACCTATGGGATTTTATGTTTTCAAATTTTCAAATGACTATTTCTCGAAAACAGTTAGTGATAGACACATGCAGTCTTCAGTAATGAGAACAGACCAATAAAAAAATCAACCAAAATATAGGGTGAGTCCCTGGGGGTCATCCCAACCCCTTCAATTTGATAATGTACTTTTATCTTGTAAACCGTTGTGATCCCCACCCTTAACAATATATATACTTGTATGGGACAATAAAACAAATTAAATGAAAATAATTTGGGGGAGTCCCCTGTGTCGTCCCCACCCCTCCTGTTTGAGAACTTGGAAATGGTCGAGATCACCACCCCTAAACCATATATATTCATGTATGGGACAATAAAACAAATCAAATGAAATATAGGGGGAGTCCCTGGGGTCACCCCACCCCCTCCTGTTTGAGAACTTGTAAACGGTCGAGATCCACACCCCTAAACCATATATATTCATGTATGGGACAATAAAACAAATCAAATGAAATATAGGGGGAGTTCCTGGGGTCACCCACCCCCTCCTGTTTGAGAACTTGTAAACGGTCGAAATCCACACCCGTAAACCATATCTATTCATGTATGGGACAATATAACAAATCAAATGAAATATATGGGGAGTCCCTGGGGTCACCCCAACCTCTCCTGTTTGAGAACTTGGAAATGGTTGAGATCCCCACCCCTAAACCATATACATTTATGTGTGGGACAATAAAACAAATCAAATGAAATATTTGGGGAGTCCCTGGGGTCACCCCACCCCCTCCTGTTTGAGAGCTTGTAAACAGTCAAGATCCCCACCCTTAAACCATATATATTCATGTATGGGACAATATAACAAATCAAATGAAATATATGGGGAGTTTCTCGGGTCACCCCACCCCCTCCTGTTTGAGAACTTGGAAATGGTCGAGATCCCCACCCTTAAATCATATATATTCATGTATGGGACAATAAAACAAATAAAATGAAATATAGGGGGAGTCCATAGGGACACCCCACCCCCTCTTGTTTGAGAACTTGTAAACAGTCAAGATCCCCACCCCTAAACCATATATATTCATGTATGGGACAATATAACAAATCAAATGAAATATTTGGGGAGTCCCTGGGGTCACCCCAACCCCTCCTGATTGAGAACTTGGAAATGGTCGAGATCCCAACCCCTAAACCATATGTATTCATGTATGGGACAATATAACAAATCAAATGAAATATAGGGGGAGTCCCTGGGGTCACCCCACCCCCTCCTGTTTGAGAACTTGTAAACGGTCGAGATACCCACATCTAAACCATAGTTATTCCTGTTCATCATTTCAAAAAGATTTGAATGACATATAGGGTCAATCTCCTAAGTGTCACATATGCATATTACTTTACTAGACCAAACCAATATGAACTGGACTTTGCCCAATGTCAGGAGACCATGGGAATGACGAATTATGGGGGCTTTGTTTGGGAGACTTCGTAACGGCATCCTGTTACAATTATTTCTTGTTTATTATAAAATTTTATTGATGCAAAAAATTAGTCTAGGTTAATTGAATTTACTTTAATTATTTATTAAATTATTTCTGGGCCTATAATAATTTTCATTTATGGCTCATTTTAAAGAAAACATACAAATCTTTCAAGCAGTGTAAAGCCCGAGAATGTTTGACCAACTGTTTTATAATCACCTGTCATTTTATTCCAAACTTGGTATGGAGTAACATCATGCACTTGGGGGTGAAGATGGGGGTCATTTACATTGATATATGAGTTGCTTTTGAAAACCTTGATAAATTAATATTAATTAATTTGCCTTAATAATCAATTCATTTAATGAACATAAATGTACAATATACAAATGTTTAATGTTTGTTCTTTCAAATCTTAAAAAAAAATTGATGCAACACTGCCACAGTTTTCATAATAACGTTTGCCTTGGTTTTTTGTTAACTGCCTATAGCGCTTACAGTGCTTTGATTTTGTTGAGCCTGCGACTTTTGTCGCAGAAAGCTCAACATAGGGATAGTGATCCGGCGGCGGCGGCATTAGCTAACTTCTTAAAAGCTTTATATTTTAGAAGCTAAAAGACCAGGATGCTTCATACTTTGTATATAGATGCCTTATGTTACGAAGTTTCAGTCTGTCATATGTCCATTGTCCTTGACCTCATTTTCATGGTTCAGTGACTACTTGAAAAAAAAGTCAACTTTTTTTGTAATGTTAATTTCTTTCTTATTATGAGTAATAGGATAATTATATTTAGTATGTACGTACCTTGCAAGGTCGTCATGCCCGTCAGATAATTTTCATTTGACCTCGACCTCATTTCATGGATCGGTGAACAAGGTTAAGTTTTCGTGGTCAAGTCCATATATCAGATGCTATAAGCAGTAGGTCTACTATATTTGGTATATGGAATGATTGTAAGGTGTACATGTCGAACTGGCAGGTGTCATCTGATCTTGACCTCATTTTCATGGTTCAGTGGTCAAAGTTAAGTTTTTGAGTTTTGGTCTTTTTGTCTAATACTATATGCAATAGGTCAACTATATTTGGTGTATGGAAATATTTTATGATGTACATGTCAGTCTCGTAGGTTTTATTTGACCTTGACCTCATTTTCACGATTCATTTCTCAGTGTTAAGTTTTTGTGTTTTGGTCTGTTTTTCTTCAACTATAAGCAATAGATCAACTATATTTGTTGTATGGAAGGATTGCATGGTGTATATGTCTGTCTGGCAAGTATCATCTGAGCTTGACCTCAT